TCCATTATCGTGACAATTGTGTTAATACATTTTTTTTCATCTCTTTCATTGTCTTTAATAAGACAGTGACAACAATATTTTACGTTTTAGTTTACATTGAGTCAATATAAACGTGATATTATATATTTATGTTACGCTTAATGATTATTTTGATAGTTAACTTTATCTAATGTTCATTGTTTTATCTTTTTCTTTTACCTTCTTGGTGTAGTTTTATAACCTGATGTTATTTATAGCAGTGTTTTGTTTTTTTTTTAGTTTTTGCATTTAATATGTACATGGCTGATGATGATTTATTTTTGTACTCTAACCTAAAAAAAAAAATAAGCCAGTTTTTTTTTTTAAATGAGATTGAACAATGCTATATTATTTTAATAATTGATATACCATTTACAAAGTAGAAATAATAAATATTTCTTGTTGGTATTTTATGAAGAAGTAAGACTTTTTCCTTTTGTGATGAAAAAAAAACAATTACTCTTATTGTCTCATTTACCGGTCTTTCATATTTTTACGACTTTAATGCAATTTCTTATTATGTTAATTATTATATAATATGTATTATACATGTAAAGTATACTTTCATTATAATTAAAGTATCGAGAAGAATGATTCCTACCTTTTTATTATTTCCATTATACGAAATATCAAAATATCACAACACATTTAATAATAACATAACTTTGAACACTATTGTTTGTTATCTGAATTGCGCGCGAAACGAAACGTCACTTTACGACGTCACTTACGATGTACAACTGAAAACTAATTCCACATTACACAAAATAAAATCTCTCTTAATATTTTTGTACGAATTTGTTACGTATTTTGCAGCGCCGTGTGCGAAAGTTGGCATCGTATTGACGAATGCCGCTTCGGCAGCCAGATGTGAAATTGTCACGTGGCTACAATAGCTCCACAGTAAGATGTACACAGATAAAGTGACCTCTCTCGATTGCACTTGTAAATATGAATGTCTATTAGTATCTTTGAATATATAGAACAGGACTAGGCAAAAAGCCGCCGTACAGCTGTGAGTTAATACAAACACACTCAAAATTAAAGCGTAATTATAAACGCATACAGACTTAAATTACGCCCTGACATGAGACAGTTAAAATTTATTGTTAATTTTTATTTAACACAGACGATTGGGCGTTTAACAGGTCCTGTCTCTTTAAAGTCAAAGATTAGTATCGAAAGGGTCAAAGAGCATAGGCCGTCTGCATTCGGTGTTATATGTTTGTATGTTATATATATACAATGTTTACATTTTTATCTCTATATGTATTTATGTATCTTTAAGATAAAACGATTTAGATTTCTGACTTTTTAATGTAAATATCTTCTTTAGGATTTATTATTATGTTGTGATAATAAGCTATTAAAAGTATAACTACGTTGTAAGTTGTCAGAATCTGATATATATTTGGAAATTCAAGATGTAAGAAGTCTTTCTATCAATCAAATAATGCTTTTTTTATATCATAAGGTGGCAAACGAGCGAGCGGCTACCTGAAATCGCTGAAATAGCGAAGTGACCGTTGCCCATAGACACACGCAACTGCATAGGCGTTGCCTACCTTTAGGCTGCCAGTCCACCAGAGCGGAGCGAGGCAGCGGAGCCGAGAAACGGAGAAATATTAACCAATAGGATTGCACAAAATCTCCGCTCCTCTTAAGTGGACAGGGACTTGCGAGCTAGTTTAAAATTTCATATAAAACCGGTAAGCGGAGCGGGGAAACGGAGCGGGGAAACGTGCGGGGATGCGGAGCGGGGAAGCGAGTGCGGGCGAGTAAAATATTCACTGTGTTCTGAACGATGTTTGATATGATTTCTTAACCAAAATCTATGTTTCCTCATAGAATTGTTCAAATGGTATATGGTAAGTATTTCGGCTTCTTCTGACTCCAACTCTTCTTCCTCAAGCAATGTAAGGTAATAATGTATCAACTTTTTCGATGGCATGTCTGCTATCACTGACATTTCGCGTAGAACTAAACCAATCGCCCCACGCCGGGAGCTCGAAATCACTCGTCGCGTACTTGCTGCCTAGCTCCGCATATTGAAAAACACAGCAACTCCGCTCCGCATTACTTCCTCACTCCGCTCCGCAGCCTCGCTCCGCTCCGGTGGACAGTCACAGTACGCAACTCCACTCCGCATTAGTCCGTTTCTCGGCTCCGCTGCCTCGCTCCGCTCTGGTGGACTGGCAGCCTTAATCGAGGGAGGAGAGGATGCACAGAAAGAAAATATTTTCCCTTTCCATGCATCCTCTCATCCGGAAAGTCTACTTCCACTTCCCATCCTTTCCTTATAAGAAAAAGGGTGAGAAGGGAAAGATGACTAAATTAGGCCAACCACCCAGAACCCAGGACCTGCAGATTGCAAGTCAAATGCTTGACCCCTGAGCCACCGACGCTCTCGTATAGTAAAATATCGTGTACCATTGCCCGACCTTTTTTCGTAGAGTATTTGAAAGCTACGGCCTATTGATTCCGCGTTGTTGTCTCAATGGGTAAGAAACGTTCCAGCGTCATACCGCCAATTTCCTCGATTGTACCTATGTATAGAATTTATTTAATTCGGGAAGTCCTTGATAAAAAGAAACTTTATGTTACACTTGTATAATTTAAGCTATAAAAAAGTTAAATTGTAACACAAGTTGCTCCATGACTGAGCATTAAGGTCACTATTTAACGGGCCATTGCCGGAGAGAGCTGTGTACGGCATCCGAATTAAAAAAAAACGTTAAATAGTTCCTGCAATATTACTATTACAGATCGACAACTTTATTTGACCCGGTGGGCATAAGTCAAACTATATTATGATAGCTCACTAACGCCCCTTATCAACGATATAAAGGTCTCACAAGATCTTTTTCATACTGTAGCTGTCGTTTCATGTTTTTTTATTGCCATTCTTTGCCCATTTTACATATTTTCTGATAGAAGTAACAGTGGTAGTAGACTCTTACCGACCCAGATAAGCTTGTCGCACTGTAGTTGATCAAACGACCTTTATAGAATCGAAAAGTTAACACTTTCTAGCAATAATTGCGTATGTTAATGGTATGCAATTTTTTTCTATCAGATAGTATTTTATAGATGCCTAAATAACAACGGTTGCAGCAATCGAACTTACTTAGTCGTAAATAATACGTGATAATTTACCAAAAGTTTCCACCTACATGAAAACATGTCGTCAACTCTCTTTTACTAAATAAATCCAAAGGATGATACGCTTTTGCAATTTGTTTCTGCAGTGGGAACAGACATGAGAGGCAATCAGCCTGATGAAACGTGATTGTTTATTTGTATTTATCTATGCAACTATAATCGCGTAGCAACGCGTGTAACTCTAAGCCCCTAGTTTCACACGAGGGCAGCACAGAACAGTAGGACAGAACAGTACTCTTGTTTGAAGTCATAACGCCGAGACAGAATAGTACTGGTCTGCGTGTGTTCCAACAATAACAGTACTGCAATGTCTGTTCCATCTCGCTGTGCTGTCCTTGTGTGAAATTATCTATCATAAATTGCATTACCTGCTCGCGCGTGTATGTTTCGTCAACATAGACACGTCCGGATGCATTGTTTAGTGTTAATTCTAAGGTTAAAGAACTTTTTAATGACACACCGCGATAAAATAATGGATGAGTCCAATAGTTATTACGTTTTATTTTTTAGTAGTAAACGTTGAAGTAGTTCTGACTTTAAATACGTCTTAGATTCCTAATAACCTATAGTAATATGTTAGGGAAACCGAATAATAGCATATGTTTTTCGAAGAATCCAAGTTGTAGTAAGCAAAGACATCTTACTGATATTATTATATATAAATGCGTAAAAATGTGACTTGAATGGATATTTAGTACCACGTAATTCCTCTACAACTAAACAAAACTACATGAAATTTGTAAAAGATTTAGATTATAGTCTGGAAATATATGGTTTCATTTGGCAAATGAACTTGCGGACGACAGCTATCTTACTGGATGTTTGTTACACAACGGTAATATGGATTTCGCAGAAATTTGACACAAATATAGAACATAGTCTCTGTTGCCGACACATGCCTTTTTATACTTTTTATTTTAATATTTTTATATTTCGAACGTAATGTATTTTTCCTCCTTTTTTGTTGCTATTTAAAATAGCAGTTGTAAATAAACTCTTTTAACTTTCATTCTCAAATTCATTCATTTAGTTCCAAAGTTTATCAAAATCCAACCCCTCTTTTCCATCTTCCTTATTTTCCGTCGTCTTTAGTCTCGAAGGATACATGTGCTACTAATTAAGTTTTATTTCTGTACAGACGGAGTCACAGGCGACAGCTATTTATTAATAGTTTTAAATACAATAATGCATGATATCAAACAATAGCGCCTTATCGTTGTGTTACTCAAGAGAAGACACTGTCATGTGACGAGACATCGTGTTATCACACGTCGATACATGTATTCTGTTTCTATGACGATATTATATGTACTAAGACACGTACTTACGTAGCAATAAAGTCCCTTAAATTATTCAAACTTTCGTGAGACATTATACTAATCTGATATTAAAAAATTTAGACCTTAAATTTGTATTGTCTTAGGACTGGAGTACATCAGTTTTATTCATTTACTAGCTGTCGCTAGATTCTAAAAATAACTTATTAGTAGGTTATATATTCTTCCAGACTATGTTCTACATCTATGCCAAATTTCAGAGAGATCTGTTTAGCGTTTTTGATACTTTCTAACAAACATCCATGATCTAAATGTTCGTATTTAAAATATTACATTAGTAAGTTTAAACATAAATTAAAATTATGCAAAAATAAAATTGTTTAGTTTTTAACAACAAAAATACCAACGATAAAGAAACTAATTGTTAATAAGTTAATTACTAAACGACGTGTTGCAGTTAGGTTTACAAAAGATGACGTCGATCATAAGATGAGACTACATTTCGGTCAGCAATAATGTCGTCACATATTAACTTGTTCCCAGGTCGCACGTATAACGACCTGAACCAGTATCCCGTGTTCCCCTGGGTGCTTACCAACTACGAGAGCGAGGAGCTGGACCTCAGCCAGCCTTCCAACTACAGGGATCTCTCCAAGGTATTTAAAGATCAATAATATATTAAGTCTTAAGGATATAAGACGTTATGTCACTGCTGTTCTCGATATTCCTTTAATAAAGATTGCTAAAACATTACTAAGGGTCGCACATAGTACAGTATACAGATGTAAGAGGTGTCTGAGTATGGCAATACCTCAAATCTGTGTTTTGTGAGATTTGCAACTATGTTTTGAGCCATTCTACATTTGGTCTAGTGGCTGCCTGATTGTAAATTTTATGGTACGAGAAAAATGTTTCCTAGTGTCGAAAGATCCAGCAGTTACCTTGTGTATCGTTTGTGCAGCCTATCGGAGCGCTAAACCCCAGCCGTCGTGCATATTTCGAGGAGCGGTACAGCACTTGGGAGCATGACTCCACACCGCCATTCCACTACGGCACACACTATTCCACCGGCGCCTTCGTGCTCAACTGGCTCGTCCGCATCGTAAGTACATCACTAGTTCACTACAGACTTTATACACAAAGCAAGGTAAAACTTCATAGCTGTTATGGTACAGTTGCGTCGCGGGTATCCCACACACAACGACTAATCGGCGTCGCGAGTCATCTATTTGGGTAAAACAGACATAGCGACTAAATTTCAACTGTAAAGAGTAGCCTCGCCATCTTGAAATTCGCAGCGACTCTTCTCACGACAATCTTGACAAAGGTAGCAAGCGACGGCTTTGGCGATGATAGAAAATCAACGCGTGTCTGTGCGCGAATCTAACAAAGTATTGTGGGTAAGCGACTAAAATCGCCAGGTTTTGAAAATTTAAATCGCCTTGTGTATCGAGGGCCTTAATTTACCACTACTACGAACTATCTAAAACCAAATATTTTCTTATTTTAGTTTTGTTTTATAATTTTTTACTCTTTCTTTTGTTTCTTATTTCCGAATATACTTCATTTGTTATATTCAAAGCGTCATTAGGAGCGTCGATGGCTCAGTGGTCAAGCACTTGTCTTGCAGTCTGCAGGCCCTGGGTTCGAATCCCGCCATGCACCAATGTGTTTTTCGGTTTCCAATTTACATATGTACATTTATCCGACGTTCTTACGGTGAAGGAAAACATCGTGATGCAACCTGCACGTATCTGAGAAGTAATTCAAAGATATGTGTGAAGTCAACCAACCCGCACTTGGTCAGCGTGGTTGACTATGGCCTAATTACCCTTACTTTAGGGTAGGCTCCGAGCCCCTCGGTGGGGACGTATAGTGAGCTGATGATGATAATGTTATATTCAAAGTGAGTTATTCTGTCCAAACATTGGTGTATCCAAGTGAAAAAAATAGTAGGTAAACTATATTATATTGTCTATTTGAAAAAGGAACAAAGAATTTGTAGATTGTTATTTAAAATAGTTATCTTTATAGGTTAACTAAAATAACAAAGCATTTTAAGTAAACTTGACCACAGCCTTGACCTAATTGCTAATTGTTACGTTATTTATATAGTATAACAACAATATTTATTTAATAGATAAATTCAATGACTAACTGATATCGTACTGTTATTGTAACTAAGCTCATGTTTTCACAGCTCAAGGAAAATTATAATTAATCTTAAATTACTTCTCAATAAAAAGAAGTCATCAAAATCGCCTTAACAGAAGATAATTTCTATAATAAAATATAGAAAAAAAATTAAATAAAAAGTGCCTTTTCAAAAATAGGTTAATCATAGTTAGCTGTAAAAGAATAGTAATAGATAATAGTTAAATTATATACAGAAAGAAGATTAAATAAATGTTTCGCCATACTTTGTTGCAAATGTCAATGGGTATCATCGGATCAAATAATTTTAGGCAATCCGATCTACGTTCGCCGCATTCTTCTTTAAAAAAAACTATAAAACATAAATTAATAAATAAAAACATGAACCGTAATCAATAAAAAATAACACAATAAACAATAGTATATATCCAGTTAAATCTGATCTTCAAAATAAACGCATAAAGATTGGAAATCAATATAATTATAGGACACAGTAGCGCCGCGCGGGGAAGTGAGATGTCACTGCAATTATGAAACTCAAGCGCAATGCCCAGTAACAGATGGCATAGTTTTGGATAGGGTTGGCACTAATGTGTTTCTTAATTATTTTATTTATTACCTGTTTTTAGATACAACAATCCATCTTGCTTTATAAATGCATATAATTGAACCACTAAGTTATTTTCTTTGAGTATATTTTATGTGATATGTTTTGAATTTTCAAAGTAACTTGGGACAGTTCATTAAAAGCATATTTTAATTCCATAGAAAATATTTAATAACTTAAAAGTGCCAACCCTAACGATGATTTAATTGATTGCGACAAGAGTCGTAAAAGGTAAAAAACTTAAAAGCCCATTGAGTGTTTTGGTCGAATCGAAAATAGAAAGGTTATTTTTTTATTATGGAAGGACAACATCGCGCGTGAAATTGTCAAGCTTTGATGAATCGTGTGCTTAACATTGCTTAATGAGAAATGAGTCAACCTTGAAATATAGAGAACAAAAACATCTTAAGTTTAATATAATGCTTATTATATTATTTATAGTTCATTACAACTGTTAGGAAGAAAACCAGACACTGTGCCGGTGTACTGGCACAACACTAGCCTTACTAAAATGTCGATGTTTATGTCCCCTCACTAATCATTCTGACACTGGACTTTGTAACGAAGGCGCGCCATTCATGTCAAAGGATTCTATTTAATAATGTCTAAAACTACGAAGATAGTTAACATAATGTCTCAATAGAGAAATAATCTGAGTCTAGTTCGACACACATGCATGTTTGTCGCACTTGAACAATTGTTTGTTTTGTAAGGATGTGATAATAAACCTGAATAATATAACAGATTAATTTGCGTATCTTTGTCCTAGTAAAGCATGAACGTTTCTAAATGTTGTCCTACTAGATGTGTCATTGTTACTGTGTCAGGAACCGATGACAACGATGTTCCTGGCGCTGCACGGCGGCAAGTTTGATCACCCCAACAGACTGTTCTCATCCATTGCCTCTTCTTGGAAGAACTGCCAGAGAGATACTTCCGATGTTAAGGTATGTGTATATGTCCGGAAAATAACAACTGAAGACTGAAAGGTAAAAAATCATACTATTTTATTTATCAGTTCTTAGAGAAGAGAACAACGAGAAGGAGAAAGGAAAAAGCATTTTACTTTGACATTTATTCCTGTTTAATCAAACGAAAGTAATCCTTTACCTCACGCATGATATTACATCGCTTGTTGCTTAAGGACACCAGGGTTCATGTTACTGTAATTGTGATCCTCCAGGAACTGATCCCGGAGCTGTTCTTCCTACCGGAGATGCTGGTAAACAGCGGCGGCTATAAGCTAGGCATATCAGACTCTCCCTCAGGCGACGTACTGCTGCCACCATGGGCCTCCTCCGCCGAGGAGTTCGTGCGCATCAACCGCATGGCGCTCGAGTCAGAGTTCGTCAGCTGCCAGCTGCATCAATGGATTGATCTCATATTTGGATACAAGCAAAGAGGTAGGTTGTTGTTACAAAATATTAATGCGTGCTCTATTTTTGTGAAGGTAACTCCGGTCCCTGCACTCTTAAGAGTAACATCTCTTAAGTAATTCAAATGGGATCTCTCAAACTCTCTTATTGTTGGGTGCGTACAGAATTATCAATCCATATGTCACCAGGGCCGGAGGCTGTGCGCGCTACGAACGTGTTCTACTACCTGACGTACGAGGGCGGAGTCCGGCTGGATCAGATCACGGACCCGGTGACGAGGACCGCGGTGGAAGACCAGATCCGCAGCTTCGGGCAGACGCCGGCGCAGCTGCTGAGCGAGCCGCACCCCCCGCGCGCCTCCAGCCTGCACCTGGCGCCGCTCATGTTCGCGGCGCCGCCTGATGACGTGTGCATGCGTCTCAAGCTGCCCTCCAACGCCGCCGTCGTGCACGTCTCTGCCAACACATACCCCCAGCTCGCCATGCCCGCCGCAGTCACGGTACCTGCTACATCAATTTACTAGTCTTATTAGTTTGTACAAAATAGAGTGAACTTAATGACGTCAGTTACTCTTTTCGATATCTTTACTTATAATGTATTAAAGACTTTTCTAATTGTTACAATATGTATGTACAGGTGAGTGCAGCGCGCGCCTTCGCAGCGCACCGCTGGGCAGGTGGCGGCTGCGCGCACTCTGCCGCCCGAGCTGACCTCGCCCCCCACCATGCGCCACATCACCATCACCCTCTGCTCATGGACCCTGTATGGGGTCAGTACCTTTCGATTACTACGTGTAGAATAAAATAATAAATAGAAATTTAAAAAAATGCCCAGCTGATTAACACGATACTAGATTACGGTTATGTTTATACCGTACCCATTTCAGTGAAATGTGATTTAACGCTAAATAAAGTTGTTAAGTTGATCTAATATTTGTCCTAGCAGCTTACATATACATCCATTAAAGGATCTCTCGTTAAAGAAATATAAATATAACTATTTTCATCTGATGAACATAAATTAATTTGCGTATGTATACAGCGGGCGGCGGCGCGGGCGCGCTGTCGCGGCGTCAGCTGGGCGACAACTTCTCTCAGCGCGTGAAGGCGCGCAGCAACTGCTTCGTTACAACTGTCGACTCGCGCTTCCTCATCGCTGCAGGCTTCTGGGACAACAGCTTTAGAGTCTTCTCTACAGAAACCGGTGAGAAATCACAACGTTTAAAAGTACTAAATAAATACCATCCTTTCAATGTCAAAATCTGTTTCTAAAATATATTTCATTAAAAATAATAAAACTACACTAATCGACGATTGCTATTATTATTAAATACATTTTAAATATTTGGTCCTTCGAGTCGGATCTATAAGGTATATTGAACTCTATACTGTTTGCAATAAGGTGGTATTTGCGTGTGGTTGCAGCTAAGATAGTGCAGATAATATTCGGGCACTACGGCGTGGTGACGTGCGTGTCGCGCTCCGAGTGCAACATCACCTCGGACTGCTACATCGCCTCAGGCTCCGAGGACTGCACCGTACTGCTCTGGCACTGGTAACTACAAATACTGCTCATCGACTGTTGGGGTTTAAACTTTAGGGAATTCTTTTTTTTTTAATGCTGCGCTTTCAGTGTTCAATGCCGCGTTCAGCCAGCCAGCTGAAGAAGTATTATATCCTTGTATGATGGCTCTATGTGTAATTATGATGTTATACTACTTGTACATGGCGCGGCTCTACACATGTTTCGATGTGATGCAGGTCAGCACGTCACGGCGGCGTGGTGGGCGAGGGCGAGACGCCGGCGCCGCGCGCCACGCTCTCGGGACACGACGCGCCGCTCAACGCTGTCCTCGTCTCCGCGGAGCTCGGCCTCGTCGTCTCCTCATCCATCAGTCAGTATACTGACATCTCATCTCATTAGGATCTATACATCACACGATATGTCTTGTGAAATCCCCCGATTTACATGGATGAATGTCACCTTCAGTACTTAACACGATACACTTGTACAGACGGTCCGGTGTTGATCCACACGACGTTCGGTGAGGTGCTGCGCGCGCTGCCGGGTGCGGGGGGTGCGGGAGGTCCGGGGGGCGCGGCGCCGCAGCAGCTGGCGCTGGCGCGCGAGGGTGTGCTGGTGGTGGGCTACGCGCGCGGACATCTCGCCGCATACACGCTCAATGGACGCCGGCTCCGGCACGAGACGCATAATGATAACTTCCAGGTAATACAGCTTCGCAAACGTGGTACAGTGCTGTCCAAACTTAATGGCAGCTCGCACTAATAGCTGACCACGAGTCGACATACAATTTGAATATAAAGTTTTGACTAAAATAATGTTGGTAGAAAATCCTTCTTAAATCTTAAAAAATATAAAATCATTATTACATCTAGTTTGTACCAGACCAGTGTTGTATAAATGTGTATGTGTGTGTGAGCAGTGCCTGGTGCTGTCCCGGTGCGGGGAGTACCTGGTGTGCGGGGGGGACGCGGGCGTGGTGGAGGTGTGGCGCGCCTTCACTCTGGCGCCGCTGTACGCCTTCCCGCCAGCCGGCGCGCCCGTCTGCAGCCTCGCGCTCTCACACGACCAGAAGTACGTTACACATATTAATGCGCCTTTTTAATATCATATCGACGTACAGTGATACACGTAAATTAAATTAAATTAAATTAAATTATTATTGCTCTTTACGAGAAAGTACTATCACGAACAACCCTTCATATAGAATCCCGGCCAAATCTTTTATTTATTCTATGTCTTATTAGACTTTTTACGTTCCCGGCTTTATACAGTTATAGAAATTCGCGCGAAAATTGTAATATTTTAATTTAACATTACAGATTCCTATTGGCGGGTCTCGAAAACGGCTCGCTAGTCGTGTTCCACATAGACTTCAACAGATGGCACCACGAGTACCAACAGCGGTACTGATCCACGCCTTACGCGCACTTTCACTGCTAAATACTGACTCGATGTCACTCGAACATTTTCAAAATTACAGTTTTGTGTCATTAAAATGTCAATTGATATTGACAGGTGTCAGTTATTGTCAGTGTTACCATGTGGTATGTGCTTAGTTTAGAAACATCAATACGTAAGTTTTATGGAATTTCATTTGGAAATATTTTTGATGCTCCTCAACTGTAAGTCACCTTTAGAAGCTAGATCGGCTTTAGGCGTCTAAACTGCTTTGATAAGCGTTAGAAATTATTAGTTTGCTGCTATGCTCCTCACTATGACGGCTAGTGTTGCAAAGTTTGCTTTATAAAATTATTTTCTATTTATTTATCTTAGATTGATGACCTAACGTAACACTTTCTAGATGATTTTTATTTCTTCTTTTTTACTACTGTTACTACTACTTTTTTAATTTTAAACCTTGCAACACTGGTCAATCTTAGTAGAGTTATCAACACGGAGCATCGCATGATAGTGAATTATACAAGATTTGTAAAAATTAATTTCAGAGGCGGACAAGTACTTATGTTTTAGTGATAAACAGTATTGTTTTATTTGACATTCCAAACATTCCATTTATTTTATATTATTGATAGTATTATTAATTGGAAATTGTTATTAAATCAATTTATGTTTTTATTTAATTTTAGTGCCATAGGTAAAGTATTGACTGGAATATGATATGTAAGTTGTTTTGATCTCTCGTATCAACAAAACGTCCATTTCTGTACTTAACAAAAATTGTAACAGCGTGCAATATTTTGAAATATTTTACTCGACGACAATGATTTCATTGAAAATATTATATTTTTAGATTTTTTTTCATAAATTATTATTTTATTTCATGAATTTTATTTTGTATTCCTTTGGTGATGGGTAGATTAGGTATTTAATTTGTGTAAAATCAGTTGTAATTATATTTTTTGATTTTTATTAAATGGTTGTATTAACATCTTTGGTTTTTTTAATTTTATTATCTTTTTTATTTTCATATTTGTACTCAATTATAAGAACTTATTGCCACTTGGCGGCTAAGCGCGCAGCTAGTGGAAATAGCCTCTATGTTAGATACGGTGACGATATAAATGGAACTTATATTACAAGAGTTTTAATCTGATGATTACTTAATGTAAGAATTTAAGATAGAAAAATAAACGCGAAAGTGCCAATTAGTCATTTTCGCTAATAAACTATGTCAATATACGTGTAGACGATGAATAGATATTTAAATATAATATTAAATGCTATTTAAGGCACATATTAAAGTTGTGTTACGGCTGACAGACCATAACCAATAATAGTTTTTTACGCGACCATTGTAATTTATTGTAAATTCGATTGAAAGCTATATTTTTGCATCACTACACCTGCACCGCTCCTTCCGTTCTGTGATTTAGGCTTTAAATGTGCACTCTTAGACATAAAAATAAAGAAAAAAATAATAAAAACTATCTTTTTCCTACTCTCTGTGCCAAAAATATTGTAACTTACAGATAATGTAGAGAACAGTTTTATGAACATGCTATCATAAAAAAAATAGTACAGCAACACAAACCTCTTACTTTACTCTAAAGCTTTCCCTTAGATTAGGTTAGAAATCTCTGTAGAAAATTGTCGGTAACCTTAATTACGATTTATGTCTTCTAGTGAATTGTACAAATAACTTGAAACCCTTATTCTCTCACGTCCCACTGTAGTCTCTTAGATCCTAAATGCTAAATTCATAACTAGTACTAACTTCTTAGAAATTAATCCTTCATCTTTCCAACCTAGTATTGATTTACCTTTAACATGTCTTTAGAACGCAATTCCTTTAAAATGTTTTACATAAATTAGTGTCTAGACATGTCTTGGTATAATTTATTTAAATAGTCATTAATAATCTTATTCTTATACTAAATAAAACCATTCAAAAAAAATCTAAGCACAGAAACACGCAGCACGCTAAAAAACACGCTACACGCAATTCTGTCCATTAACGGTAAGATAATTTTAAGATACGAAATTTAAAATTAAATTAACGTTTTTATTCCATTAGAATAAGGCAACACTTGTATATTGAATTCGCTGTCCTGTCCATTTAGACATAAGCTGAATTGATTCATACACAAACATAAACATTCTTTACACTAAGATCTGATAATCATAATTATTTATAACCGAGTTGTGACGACTTTATTAAAACGCTACTGAATTTAAAACATTGCCCATCGGCTTTCGCATTAATAGAAGCTACAGAGCCACTTTAAAAATATTTTAAAGCTTACTAATTTTGAAATAATGAATTCACAATTGTCTGGCAACACTGCTATGTTACACAATGTTGCAAACTGCACATACACTCAGCATGCGAGTGCTTTTCACCCTTTAATGTACTGCCTCCGCCAACTAATAAAATGTCTTATTTAGATAATAGTGATTCAATATTATGAAAAATGTTGTTGAGCGTATATTATAGTGAATTAAACTAGGTTAGAATAATAAGTAGACATGTAGACGGAGTAGATATAGTTTAGTGGGACAATTTGCGTAAATGAAGTTGTTTTCTTCGTTAGATTTAATTTGAATTATTATTATATTATATATTTATAGTAATTTTCAACTTAGCTATAATTTTTTTGTATTTAAAGTTACTTTTGTGGAATATTTATTTGTAAATTAATTGAAGTTACAACTGCTTAGTATTATAATACATAGTGAAATTTGATTTGTTAACTTTATTAATGTATAATTTTATATGAAAGTTTAATAGTCAGACTAATAAATATGTTACAAATAATATTTGACCCATGAATTGAAGTCATTCTGACTAGGTTTTTAATCACATAATTGAATAAGAACTAGACTTCTGAGATTGTGTGTAACAAGCCTCAAGCCTAAAGTTGAAAAATAAACAAAATGTCTATGGGACAGTAGTTAACCATAGACCCGTGTGCATCTCCGAACGTATTTTGAATTTTGGCAGAAAAATTAATAACCCACATAATATGTAACTGAGATATAAAATAATTAATGAAAAAATTCGCGTTTGGATTGTGTTTAGCAAACTAAGACATTAAATACTATTTAGTACGCAATAATTTCGTTTTGTATAAGTCTGAATTTTAATAGTTTCGTGCATTGTCTAATACTAGATATCTTATTTCACTAGATATTTTCAAAAATATTGTGTCACATTCTTTGATATAACTTCTGTATATCTAATGCACATGCTTTTAAAATTTAATGTGTGATTTTCTTATGACATTAAATTGTGATATTTTATTTGAACACGATTAATTTCGAATGTATACTCACTTAAGCGTAACTCTTTACAAAGTTTCATTTTTGCTAAGTGTATGGTGCGTTTGTATGTTACGAAAAGGTCTTAAGTAATAAATAAATTGCATTGATTAAATAAACTTGTATTATTTATCCTGGTTATTGAAAAATAAATATGCTTTGTTTATAACATGCAATGGGGAGCTGCGTATTGTAAGAAAGGGTGAATTTGAGTAGAGCATATTGTTGAAATTTCGCAACATTCCTTACCTACCATCTAAAGATACTTAAATATTTCCAAATTTTTAATAATTATTATATAAATTAGTATCACAAGAGATTACTTATTTCTTTTGGAGTTATACCTGGAACACACCAGCCGAGTTGTGATTATGAATAAAATCGCAGAAACGTGTCGTCAATCTAAACATAATCTAACCACATTCAATATGCCTTCAAAGAGCAAATAATGTTTTTTTAAATTATTTTATTTATAACTTAAAGACACTTGCATCAAAATGAAATACGTGTTTATTTAATTTTTTTTATTAAGTATAGCTTATAAGCTAAGCAACGGTCGCGACGGGCGGTGGTGGCAGCGCGGTAGGCGCGATGGAGCGCACATCGCTCGTCGGCTCCGTGGGGATGGGCTCGTCTTTGGGCTCCGTCACCAGAATGTGGTCTGGTTGGGGCTTCTTGGGGCCGTTCTTGCCCTGTTGGTCCCATGGCAACATGATCTTGACCTGAAAACAAGTTTATGATGTTACTTTTATTGGTACATACAATAAAAATTGTCATTGACAATACTTGTGTGTGATAATGGGTTAAGAAGTTTTTGATTTGTTACATTCATTATACTGGCCTTTTCCCTCCCTACAGAGGGTCGGCAAAGTATGTACTTCTATTTCATACATCTGTATCACCTGTCATATCTGACTTCACTTCCTTATGTTTATTCCACCTTGACTGATAATTATAATAAAATAAAGTAGCTGTTGTCCACAACTCCGTTAATGCAGTACATAAAAAAACTTTATAAGTAACCTATGTGTTTTTCCATGCTATGTTCTAAAACTATGCTAAAATTAAGCTAGATCCATTAACTTTTCTGGACATACTTTTTAACAAACATCCATCCAAACATACACATTTATAATATTATAAGATGATATGTAGTTTGTTTGACCTGCACCGTACAAGAGCCCATATAGAATGAACCCTCCAATAAACAGGTTAAGTTAATTTTCCACAACAAGTTAGACCACAAGCTGCAGGAGGCTTGCAATCCCTGATTGTGTGGATAACATGAATTTTAAAAAGTAAACTTATATCTAAATCACGATATCTTTGTAAATATATGAAGATAAAACATGTTAAGCAATACATAGATCTACAATAGTGTTTCTTTTGAAACTATAAATTGCTATAGAAACTTACCTTGATACCAAGTACTCCTTGTCGTAATAACACATGTCGGGTTGCTGTGTTAACATAGTCATTGCAAGGGTCACCAGAGTGAATCATGAGGCCGTCAACAAACTTCATGGACTTGGCACGCTGACCACGGAGCTTGCCAGATACAACAACCTCGCAGCCTCGTGCACCTGACTCCATGATGAATCGGAGGACACCGTAGCATGCACGACGCACAGCTAATCCTGAAAGGATAATAACAGTATATTAATGTGATTAATGAAATAAAATAGTTTAAAGCAAAATAATTAAAAAAAGACAAATAATATATTTTTAAAATCCTATTTGTTTTTTGTTCTTGCATTATTCACTACATTTCACTCCATAATTAGCAATAAAAGCAAAGCCAAATTTATACCAAATTTTATACACATGAGAGCAAATTTATTTAGCTTTAATTTCAACAAAATCTACTAAAATTGTGCATCTCCGCATCAAATTGTGAGATGTTACTGCTTAAAATAGGCTCTGGTCACTTTTTACTCTGACAATATTGACATATCATATAAAACATCCGTACACACAGGCCTACATCCAGCAGAGGACAAATTTTAGGCTGATTATGATGATATAAAACATATTCTTGTTTCTGATCAAGTGTTTACATAAAAGATCAATTGAAACTAATGAAACTGAAGGTTCTGATATGTTCTTAGGTAGAGAATTGTAATTTTCTGTAATGTTTACACCGTATCAAGTTAACTTAGTGCACATATCAATATAATAATTACTAACCTCCAATGAGTTTGTATCTCAAAGATTCAGCCTGAGCAATAGCGCACAAACCACGGGTGGCGACCTTCTCTGCGTACAGTTCCACAGACTGTTCAGGAATGTTGAACCTCTTCTGTACAACCGAGGTCAACTCGCGAATCCTGCGTCCCTTCTCTCCAAGCACGCTTTGTGTTCTTGTCGCCATAATGATAATTTCTGACCGTATCGGGGTGACCCGCACCTCCACGCCGGAGTACCCATCTTCAGCCAATTCTCTTGTCAAGAACTCATTAAGTTCAGCCTTAAACACACCGTCGCCGACGAACTGAAAATATCACAGGAGGTTATGTTTTCGTATGTTTCAGATTAAGACGTACCTTTGTTTATGTTGCACTAACAATTATTTATATCAATCTCAGGCTTCTAATTATATTTATACAGTTATAAAATAAAGTAAAGACGTTAATTTTAGACAGAAGATACAATCACAACTTTTTGACATCCGTTAACATCACGATTTACACTAACACTTATAAATAGAACTTTTCATTTGTGGACATTAATAACCCCATACTACTATTTGGAAAATTTATTTAGGATAATATTCTTCTAAAAAATAACATACTTTGCGCTTTTTAGAAATGTTGTTCACCGCCATGATTGCAACGGGGGCTGAGAAAACTCAAAAAGACAGGAGAACACAGATCCACAAACGTCAATGTCAAACAATGCAGCGTTCCGTTATAAGTTTGAAATTTTCAAGAAAAGATCATCTTCGTTGCTACATATTTTTTATGATATAAATTAATTTAAAATATATTCCGCGTAATAAATACGTTGCGATCGATGAATTACATTGTGTTATAATTTTTTTTTCTAATCCAAACTTCCTTTTCATGTGAAATTTAAGAAATTTGGAAAACTTTAATCTTATAACATTGTGTAATCATTTTAAAAATCATGTCTTAAAAATAATGTATTTTTATCGGTAGTTGTTAATTAAATTGAACAGATAATATTACACAGGTCGAAAATACCCAGAGGACGTATACAAGTTTTACATATTCTTATTTGTCTTACTCAAACAGTAAAATAAAATAAAACGGTTTAGCTTTACTAGCGCCATGGGCTAGGTTAATATTTACCATGCCTTTGGAAGGTTTAAAAGGCCGTGTGAGAAGATCTGAGGCACCCTCTCTCTCTTAAATGCCTTTTCTACCTTTTTTGTCATTTTGTCAGGGAATAAATAAAGGAATAAACACATTTTTAAGTCAATATTTTATTTAGAAACTTTATCGACTACATTCATCCCAAACCAGGTGCCATATGTTACATAAAATACAATGTGTACCCAATACACCACATAAAGTTTATGTTATATAATTAATAAAAATCGAAATTAAATGCATATTGATGAGCTCTTATACTTGTAATAAAATTTTATATAAGTTTTTTTTATCTTACTTATATTTCAATATAAGTGGCAACACTATATCGAATAACTTAAATAAAATGTACTTTCGCCAACAAACTTCCTGTCAATATTAACAAATTCATGATTATAACTTGACTAAAGTAAATAATTAAGAACTAAAAAAAAAACATTTAATTGTTCAACTCTCGTACTTACATTAAATTAAAGTTAATTCTTATCAATACCTTTATTTAGTCCCACAGAAGCCGCGTCAATGACAGATGATAAGGGTTTGTTCCACTTGGTACCAAGTAAGAACAACTCGGGCAAAGTTCACGCAGCTAATATTGATGTAATAACCAAGACGACAGATAATAAATCCCAAAAACCAAGTTAAATATCTTCCACATTACATTGTATGTAGTTAAATAATTAAATTTATTTACCACTTAGAATCAAATATCTTACAGCAAACTGTCACTATGAGATTTATAATTTATTGATAAATTGCTATGAAGTGTTCTATATAATTGCGTTAAATACGCTTAAATGGGTAGGAAAATAACGTCCTCGACTGTATATAATTCTGTGTTAAACAAGACACCAAGTGGAACAAACCGACTTATACGATATATGACAGTCTGATTAAGAAAAATTACAACCTGTAGTTATAAAAATTACATTATTTTAATTAACAAGTGATAAAAATCAATTAACCTATTAACAATACTTTCGTAATTACTTAAAAATACAGAAAAAAAAATACGAGCTGTTTTGTAACAAATGTTGACGAAATTTTTGAAGATTATTTAGTTTTTTGATTTTGTAAAAATGAACATTGGATGTTGTTGGTCAGTGAAGTATTAAAAATGCATTTTTGGACAGAATGGAATCTTGGTCTTCATATTCTTAAGGACATCATTGTGACCGAATGAAACCACTTAATTGGTATAAGGTTGTCGGGCATTATCTGAAAAAAGACACAAAACATTAATTAAAATCACATTTTAATACACATTAAACATGTTTTTTATTAATTTTCATCATATTTTCAGTAAAATTCTTTTATTTAAATACAGCAGAGGAAGATGTTGAACTTTTTGAATGACATGAAAAAAATACATATTTTTTAAAAAATATTTTTTGAGATTTAAAGTTTAAGGAATACTAGATAGTGTCTAGGCTATAAGATCAAAATTAAGGTACATCTTTTGTGTTTTTACACCATGATTTTTTGCATAGAAGGAAGTAAGCAAACCTAAGAACTACTAAATGACATTCTATAACACAATATTTTTATGGTTGAATTATACAAAAGAAACTAAATTTAAATTTATACAATGAAATTATTATAAAAATTAAATATACTTCAGTTCAAATTTTTTAATTATCGAATCAACAAAAACAAGACACTATTAAATTACTTTTTTTCTAAATTAAATCTAAATTACATAGTCTTATCTATAAGTTAACACGTTAGCACCTCGCTGTGGCTTGTCGGAAGTTTTTAAATCGAATTGTTGTATACAGCGTGACACGCAAGGACTCATAAAGCTTATAAACAGCTGGTAAATTTTTTCGTTTTTCGAAAAATCATTCTGGCAGCTAACGTGTTAATATGACTACTCTCCAACCAACAAGGAATCAACACTACATTGCTGTTAGAGAGAGACACACCGATGAGCAAGGCGGTGCGTGCGAGCGAGACAGCTATGTGGAAGTGGCCGCTGTAGCGCGCGCTCGGCCACTTTGAAAAGGAAGCGGGAAATTTGAATAGATCGATATTTTACATCGATTTCAATACTCATGTCACGCAAAAGTGCAATTAAAGCGAAATAACGTTCAAGGTCAAAAAGCCATCCATTACTTGATATATTCTATTTCTAGTTACTTCGTTATCTCAGAATTAAAAAAGATGCCTGTAGTATTCCCGCGTCACATCAGCTACCTTCCAATGAAAATCCCGTCAAAATTACTCGAAACAAACGCATATAAAGACACTCAAAAATTTGTAAATTTATTTTCCTATAAAAGTATATACATGATAAACACGAAACACATTTTTATATCGATACTAGCTGTCGCCCATGATTCCGTCCGCGCGGAATTCTAAAATTATATGTGATCTTGCAGACCACGTCCTATATGTATGCCAAATTTGAACGAGATCCGTTCATCCGTTCTGGAGACACCTTCAATGGATATTTGCCATCCACCATAGTATTAGTGATAGAAGAGTGGACATGAAGTAGTTATGATGGGGTGCTCACTGGACGTGTTCAGCGGGCGGGGCCATCCTGCAGACGAGGGAGACGGCGCTGCGCAGGGTGCGGGCGAGGGGGGCGGGCGCGGAGGGGGAGCTGGCGGCGCGCTCGGCCGCCACGCGCAGCTCGCGGAACGTGTTGCGCGTGTAGGGGTTGCGCCGCGACGTGTAGCGCCACGTCAGGAAGTAGTAGTACACGAACGGTGTCATCAGACCGCAGTAGCTACTGGAATACCACAACAAATACTCATTTAGTACCACATATATGTACTTAAACACTCGACTTGCAATCTGCAAGTCCCGGGTTCAAATCCCGCCATGTACCAATGTGTTTTTCCATCTACATATGTACATTAAAGTCCGGCAACGCATCTGCGATTCCTCTAGTATTGCTAATGTTCATGGGCGTAGATAGACACCTCGGTGTTCCCGCTAGTCGTGTGCCCCCTTCTCTTATAAAAAAAAACATTTATCCTACGTTCTTACGATGAAGGAAAAAATCATTATGCTGCAAGAACCTCTGAATTTTCAACCTAGCTTACGTGGTAATACCCTCCTAATACAACTAAATGTAAATCAGTAAATAAGTTATACTTACAAGAGTGCCATAAACACAACTAGAGGAAACAGCACAATCTCAGCGAGTGCGGCCGCGCGCAGTATGTTCCGCGACTGGAACTCCACCAGAGAGATCAGCAGCCGAGCCACCCACATTGAGTTCTGACCCAGAGTCTGGAAACCAAACATGTTAAACATGTTTATAGTATAAGAGATAACAATGAAATTAATTACCGACTTTAGTAATTAAAAAAACAATTTTACTAGGACAAAAATCATTTAAATTTGTTAACAAAGAAAAATATTCATAATAGTAATTTTCTTCCAAATTTAAGAGTTTTTTTTTATCTTTTTAATTGTATCAAAATTACAATATACTTATAAGAATAGAAAACTACAATTTATCCAAAAAAAAAGTCAGTAAATGCTCCTAAACTTATAAATTCGAAATTAAACCATACTGTTATAGAAATAAGATAAATTATTACAAATAAGTAAAATGTTATACTTACATCAAGTATGGTGAGAGAGTACGAAGCAGCGTGGAGCAACGCGAACAGGAAGATCGGCGTCAATATTACTGCGCAACCGGTTAAGGAACAAATTTAAATTAAAAAGACATAAATAAAAAAAAACAACATTACTGTTAAAAGTCGATAAAGAATTTTATGACCCCTAAAAATGGATTCTTTTTAGTTAATTCGAATCTTCACCACTGCTAACAACCTAAACCATTAGCGCCAAAATGACGAAAAAAAAATAACCACAAAGTAGCACGGTTTATAGCCTTTCCATATGAATGTCATTGTATATATATTATTTATTCCATTGTTTAGTAGCTGTCGCCCGCAACTCCGTCCGCGCAATTAAAAACTGTACTAGTAGCCTATGTGTTCTTCCAGACTGTTCTATATCTGTGCCAAATTTCATCAAGATCCTTTGGACCGTTCCGGAGATACCTTCAAATAAACATCCATTCATCCATCCATCCAATGATTAGCATTTATAATATTAGTAAGATAAGTAAGATGTATTTATTTTGGAAAGTTTCAATGTTTAAATTGATGACAAAAATATATCTGATTTTAATTTTGTGCTGAGTCTTCTTAAATTATAAAAAAATGTTTTTACAAGTTTTATAATTTCCCATTTACATTGAATCCATAGTTAAAATAATTTTACGATTCGATTACGTATAACGAAATTGAATAGAAACAAAACCTTAATCGTACATTTTTAATTGTTTTAGCTCCTATTGTGTTATGTAACAAAATTAATATTCAAACCGGTTTTATGTTACCACTAAGGCTACGATGACGTCTGTTTAATCTGTTAACGAGTTGCCAATGTCAATTTACTTGATCACCTTGTCTTGCCTATTTTATGACATCGTTTTTGGCTTAACACATTCAATGCCACTACGATTTTTACGTAAAAAGTGAACAGGCACAGAATATGTTGAAAGTATTAATTTAAAACATATAAATAATAGTTTCGTTATATAGTTTTCTTTATTGTATTTTCTAAAAAAAAAAGATATTGAAGGAAGACAGACCGAGTTAAATGATTTTTTTTTATCATGCTGTCCTAAGCTATCCTACTTCTGCTAGTTTTTGCTATGATTACAATATTTTAAATGCGAATGTTTAGATGGATGGATGGATGTTTGTTTGAAGATATCTCCGGAACGGCTGAGCGGATCATAATGAAATTTGGTGGCGACAGCTAGTAATTTATAAACATAATTTAAAAGGTCATTCATATTTCACATTTATTCATGGTGAGTTCATTTACTTAATTATATTTCTGGGACATCCTTGACGTTGTGAAGCTACACATATATAAAATATTCATAAGGTTCAAATTGTAACTCGTTATATAGACGAGAATATTATACAGTACATAAGTAAAAACTTTAGTAAAGCTTTTACGATTTTATTAAAACAATTCAGAATTGATATTTTTTTAAGAAACGTATGAAATTTCACAGTTACAAAAAGTAATTCGCGAAATACTTTCGAGAGCAATATTTTAATTTGATTTCTTTTTCGAGTTCCATACTAGTAGGATTACTTTGTTGTCCGTCCGTCTGTCTGTCACAACATTTTTTTTTACAATTGGTATATTATGTAATAGTTAATTAACTATGCGAGTGTATTTATAAACATTATGACGTCACTATTCATTATTGTTTTGTTTATAATTTTTGTAATGTTTGCACAATGCAATGTAACATATTTTGAAACAATTGTGATATGAATATACGCGTTAATTTACCTTATTTTAGTAAAAGTTAAAATTATATTGTTAGGAAGATAATCTGAAATGCCGATGTTTATGTCCCCTCACTATTCATTCTGACACAGGACTTTGTAACGACAGCACGTCATTCGCGCCAAATGATTCTATTGAATACTGTCTAAAAATATGTATTTACCCATTCAGAGAAACCATAATTATTATTTATTTCATTCTACGGCAAAAAACTCACCTCTCTCATTTTTTCTAACTTTAGTCCCATTAGTAATGATGATCCCTTACCTTAATTTAACAGCTTAGTAATACTAAAATTACTACTTGCATTTGCAACATGATTTTCTATTTCCGTTCTTTACACGTTCATCCACTTATAATGTCACTACGGCCTTTACCCTTGGCTTTTAAGTTAAAGTTTGATATTTAAAAAGGATACATATATTGGGCACAACATTCATAAATATGAGTGAGTAGAAGAGATAATGCGCGCTGTCTTCCAACAGGAAGCGAGCGAGGAACTCCCGGGACAGCGCGATCTCCCGCGGCGGGATACGCTGGTGTAGACGCAGAGCTGATGTTGCTGCATTCGCTAGGAGAGCCTTGTAGAACGCTGATACTGGACTGGAAGACGAATAGAAACTATTAGGATTAGCCCTGGTTTCAACGCGTTTATAACGCGCGACCGTGGGTTTCTGAGACTAAAATATCTGTATAAAACATATCGCCTCCCTGTCATTATCTTTGACAAACGGAGTTGTTCGTCTCCGAAACCCATAGTAAGCAATCGTTCTTTACCAAATGATAAAATCGTAAAAGTAGGCGTTCAAAGACAAATTACGAATACTTCTATTTTACGTTTGTTTTGGAATTTGAGGTATTTCATTGCTAGAACAAAGGCTTATTAAGCGTTTCAGTGGGGTGCCATTAGGCCGATTGATTCTATAGAACCGATCGACTCAAAGGATGGTACAGTTCTTTTGCAGGCACTTTGGTTGCATAGCAATAAATCATAGAAGCATTCAATGTGTTAAAATGTCTTTGCTGTCTTTACATTCACATATTAATATTATAACATGCAAATGCATTTCGTCGTCTCAAGATCAGAACGCAACGTCTTAAAGTAGTACAAACTTCACGGTTAACGAGTTTTTACTTTCACTCACGCTACAAACATTATGCTGCACTGAATTGTTACTTTTATGTCGTCTCGTGCAGTACTTTCACATCTTTATATCAAAATTGCTGACATTTCACTTGAAATTGAGTTCAATGTTACCTACATGAATCACTTTACCCATAACTTTCCTTATGAAAGGTTAACATTTATTATTACACTAGCTATCGCCCGCGACTCGGTCCATGCGGAGTTAAAAAAAAACATAATTAGTAGTCTATGTGTTCTTCCAAACTATGTTCTATGTGTATGCCAAATTTCATCGAGATCCATTCAGTTGTTCTGGAGATATCTTTAAAGAAATATCCATCCATGTAAACATTCACATTTATATTAGTAAGATAAGTAATATTTCGTGCTACAATATTTTGGTATAAAAGTTGACTTGTCAACAGCACTCAGAGTGTTAACATATTTTTAATTAAACTTAATATAAATGAGACATTTCATAAATAAAATATTACTCAACATCAATGTAAAATGGTAGAAATAAACACACAATAACATTTGAATATGGTGGGAATCATATTGTTTAAAATAACAAATACAATTAGCCTTAATAAATAAAAAAAAATGTTTCACATTGTTCTGTAGGAGCCTAAAAAACAGAACTGTAGGTACCTTCTACTCAACAAATCTTACTATCTTACTAATATTATAAATGCAAATGTTTAGATGGATGGATGTTTGTGTGAAGGTATCTCTAGAACCATTGCATGGATCTTGCTGAAGTTCGACATAGATGTAAAACACAGTGTGGAAGAACACATGGACTACTAATTAAGTTTTTTTTTAATTCCGTGCGGATAGAGTTCCAGGCGACAACTAGTGTACAATAAATATAGTCATCCCTGTCAGTCTCTTGAAAAAACTAGAGATAACAACATGTTTCAGTACTCATTTAGTTAATAAAAACTCAAATATAGGAGATGGATCTCATTCTGATTAAGATTCACCTAGTTCAAAACTATGCAGTTTCTACACCAAACAAAGTTCATTTTGAATCAATAAATTATTAGGTTTAACTACTTACTTGTTAAATATAGGCAATAAGTATCCTATTGTGCACAAAACTGTGAGAAGTCGGATACCCCAGAGTGCTACATCTACTTTGTTTGCTATAACATGAGCTTTCAGCGCTGGTAGGCCTTTGGGAGGACCTCCCTCGCCCGCTGGTGTGTTTTGATCTGCCATATTCTGTGGAGAAAGAACACTAAAACATGATGACAACACAACACACAATTTAAACAAAATTTATAGGGTCAGAGATTATAGATTTCCTTTTGACACAACTTTTTAAGAAAATTATTTTATTATACCAAAGAAATGTACTCTAAATTATATGAAAGACTAAATCTTTACATACAATTAACAAAATGAAAATGATTTTCATGTTGTTTATATAGCATTCATTTTTGGTATTTTCTTAGATTTCAGTTTACCTTAAGTTAACATCTTTTTTTTTTAATTATTTTTGTAATAAAGAAATGGTGAAATAACATAAGTTTGACATTAGTGCACTACTTTAGAATTTATCTGTAAAGGGTTATAAATGGCAAAGAAAGTTTTGTACTTTCACTTTCTAATTTTGTAGTATCTGTGCCATGCTATATTAAGCTCAAAAGTTAACCAAATACTATGAAATATGAGGTTCATGTAGACATTGTTGGTAAGTCATGTTATCAGATAAGTAATTTAAACTGATAAAACGAAAATTTTTGAACACTAACCTAAGTTTCTCAACAATTTTACTACACTTTACGGACGTGTGTCGTAAAACGTGCTATTAAAGCCAATTAAATGCAAATGAGAAATACTGAGATTATTTTCGTAATCATAACTTTTTCAAAAGCGATTAGGTAGCGTTAACAATCTTAACTAATACAAATTATATTAACCTTCAAACAAGATCTAATTGGAACTTTACCATAAAATGACGAAGAAAAACTTGTTTTCGGGTATAATTGTGTTAATAATTATAAAAATGAGTAAGTACACAAATTAGTGTTTCGAGTAAATTAGGTTAATATAAAAAGTCAAGTTAAATATAAAGTGATACTTACACTGAATTATGGAACAAATACGAACGATGTAAAACAACAATTCTACAATTTTATTAACACAATTCAACGTTGACCACGAAACCACGAACAAACATGAAACATGATTTGCCCAGATTTGTCAAATGACAAGAAGAAATAAAAAAACTGTAGTCAGCTACAGACAAAACAACGAATTTTTATTTGTTACCTATATTACTTTTTAGTTACAAAAAGAAAAAAATGGTCTGATTTATTCAAAATAATGTTTGTGAGAATATTTAACTCAATCATATTTTGAACTTTATTTTAATAATTAGATTTCTGAGCGATTGCGATGAAATGACATTTGACATTGACACTTCCTTTTAATCTGTCATTTCATTCATAAAATAATGCACAAAATTTTTAAAATAAAATATTTATAATGTTAACTAAAATGGCTAGTCATATTTTTCGGAGAAGTAATTTAAAGCTTTATTTCAACGCTGATAGCATTTATCGGAGATATAATGTAATTGCTTCTGTCATTAAAGAGGCAAATGTTGGTGAAGTAACTGAAGTTAAGGTTAACAAATATTTAGGAATTAAAAATTTCATTTACGAATTACTTCATAATATGCTAACATTTTATATTCTAAACAGGGATGGGTGAAAAACTTGCGAGTTCAAAAAGAACTTGTATTTGCCGACATAAGCGATGGTTCATGTGCGAAGAGATTGCAAATTGTTATTCCAAAGCACTTAAAAACAGACGATTTGACGTATGGGAGTTCGGTACGTGTAGTTGGAAAACTATCCAAGAGCCCTAGAGGTCAGTTAGAGTTGGCAGCAGAGGATGTAAAAGTGTTTGGTGAATGTGTTGTCTTGGAAGGATACCCATTCAATCCAAGAACTGCACATTCTCCTGAATACATTCGTCAATACTTGCATTTACGTTGTAGAACTAATTACACTTCAGCATTATTAAGGATACGAAATGCAGTATCAAAGCATATACATAATTATTTTGATACTAAAAAATATCTACACATTCATACCCCTATTTTAACTTCAAATGACTGTGAAGGGGCTGGTGAAGTGTTTAAAGTGTTACCTGATAATAGAGATACAATAAAAGCAATGATGCAACAAGATAAAAATGTTGATAATGTTTATTTTGGTTCAAAAACATTTTTGACAGTATCTGGGCAACTTCATTTAGAAGCCATGTGTAGAGGGCTTGGCAATGTATACACATTAGGTCCAACATTCAGAGCAGAGAATTCAAGATCAAGATTGCATTTATCTGAATTTTACATGTTAGAAGCAGAACTAGCATTCTGTGAGAATTTAGAAAACTTACAAAGTTCTATTGAGGATTTATTAAAATATATTTTTATTGAAACAAGAAATACAAATGAAGATGATTTATATTTGATAGATAAAGAGAAAAATAAACCTCCAATTTGGTTGGATAAGAAGTTTGTAACAATGACATACACGGAGGCAAAAGATATACTCAAGAGAAAAGGCTTGCAGGATACGGAGGATGGAATAAACAAAGAACAAGAGCTTGCATTAGTTGCTCATTGTGATAATGTTCCAGTGTTTGTTGTAAGATGGCCGAAGGAACAGAAATCTTTTTATATGAAGGAGTCACAAGACAATATTAATGTAAGTTTTGTTTTAGAACATTGTGGTGACAGTTTTATTACATTTACATGTTCAGTATCTTATAAAAAAGTATGGCAAGGAATCAGATATACAGTTAAACCTGGATAAGCAAGAATATTGATGTCCTTTGGTTGGTATCCAGGTTTGGCTGTAGATAAAAATTTTGCTATTGTTTATATTACAAGATAATGAGATAAATATTATTTCAGTATTACTTTTTTTGGACATTTCTATGGTTTATTTTGCCTTGACTTATTTCTCTGATTAAAACAAGACATTTTTTTCAGGTTGAGGCATTAGATCTTTTAGCACCAATAACCGGAGAAATAGTTGGTGGTAGTCTCAGAGAAGACGATTATAACAAATTAAAGTTGAAATTACCTTCGGAAGCTTTAAATTGGTATTTAGAGTTGAGGAAATTTGGGAACATACCAACCGGTGGGTACGGATTGGGTTTGGAACGTTTATTACAAGTACTATGCAATGTACCAAATATAAAAGACACTTTGCCATTCCCACGATGGCCCCACAACTGTGATATGTAGATATAAGTAGAAAATGTTACACTTTTAAATTGAATTATAATAAATTGCTATAAAAAATCATGTTACTTTTTGTGTATTCTTTTGAAATCTGGATTGAAACTTATTTTTAGGTTTGTAGATAATCTTACTTATATTATAAATGTGAATGTTTAGAAGGATGGATGGTTCGAAGGTATCTCCAGAAAGGCTACATGGATCTTGCTGAAACTTGGCATAGTTGTAGATCATAGTCCGATAGAACACATATGCTACTAAGATTTTTTTTAATTTCACGCGGACTGTATTGCGGGCGATAGGTAGTCATTTAATTGATTTTTGGCATAGCCACAAACATGAATAGAAATAACAAACCAATGATTGTTTTAAACATATTTATTTGACTTATATTATTCCCTAAACATCAAAATTGTGAAAAAATAAAAACACAAAAAAACTATAACGCTACAAAACCTGCTGAAAATCACATATTGTGACATAACATTATTTACAATTACAACTTAAATTTATATTCTTAAAAAATGAAGAAAGAAATCAATAGAACGCAAGAGAAAAAGATTTTTCTTTAATTTCAAGAGATTCTTCTCTTTACATTAACAAATTGCCTTAAAGAGGAAGATAAAAAGATATTTACAACTTGTGTAACTTATATACAATTATGTTTAGTACATAGGCAAATATATAAAGAATAATACAAGCCTTACATTTGCTATTTGTCAATCATTATTATTTAGTTTGTCTTCAATAGACAATATACCAAACAAAAAACCTAATTATTGGTAAATATGTGTTATGTATAAAATTTATAACAATTTTTTTTTATTTCAAAGTATTATTTTCAACCTTTTCAGTAGACAATAAGGTTGAACTAAAATTAATACATTTTCGATACAATGTCATGTTTATTTACAATGATGACTTTATGATTAAAAATATACAAATCTTATGTTAACCATCTAAAGAACACAAAGAAAATCATTCGATTATAACCTTAAATTTAATATCACAATTTATTATAACAATCCATAGACAATCTTCTTCATTTACAAATGATTCTTTGTGTCAATTGTTTTTCTATTTCACAAACTTGCACATAATGTTAAAACCTATTTTTGTCTCTGTTTTGCCAAAGATGAAAGACGAAAGGTGGCGATATGTTTTATACAGCGATTTAGTTGTCAGAAACTCATGGTTAGTAAAGTATTGGATAACTAACAAATAAATTAACTCACGAATTACTGCCTGTCAAAATAATGACTTATTTGAAGAATACGAAAAACCAATGACGATTTTATTTGACAAATAACTACCAATTTTAATCAGGAGTTACTTGGAAATTGTGTAACAGGCCCTAATAGTTATTTTATAATACATATCAAAGCAATTGTGTGCAATATATAGTTGTCTCTGTTTTTACAAAGAGAATGAAAGGGATGACAGGAATCTTTGATACTTTTTTGACATTGACAGAGGGGCGCTAGTGAGCTGTCATAATTTACTTTGTCTTATGGCCATCTGGTCATTTTACTTTCTCTGCCTATAATATTCCATAACTATTTAAATTGCTTAAGTGATAGCTTTAAAATTATATTAATTATGCTAAGTTTTTATTTTAATCATATTTTGAAAAATTACTTTTGTATTTAATTCTAAAGTATAACAAAACGAATAAATTTTTTCTTGGCATCCTTTTAAGCATAATTTTTTTTTACTTTTCAGTTTAATTATCTGGAGTAAACAAAGATGTACTGTATGATAAACCTTAAATAATGGGAACATATTAAAATATATTTTTTTACAAGTATTACTATGATTTAAGAAAATCTTGATTTGATTAACTTAGTTGATTTTAGATTAAATTAACTTATAGAACAAAAATATACCAATGCATTTATACTAGGAATTAACACTATACACTTTTCTAGATTTTTTTTTCTAAATCGCTCTAGTTGTGTCAAGTTAGGTAAGTTCCTTACGTATTTTTGATTAAGACAATATCTAGGAATAATGCAAACAATTAAATCATTCATATTTTACTTTGATCCAAATTAACCTAAGACCTTAAATAACATTTGAAACACATTTTGATGTCTTTAATCGCTTTTTTTTCTATTTAATGATCAATGTTTTGCATTTCAAATTACATGAAAATAGTAACCCTTTGAATGCAAACATTTTTCACATAATAGAACAAAGTCCTGATAATTCATTACCTTTGTGCACCGGTGGTTGTCTACTGAACTGAACACCTTCTAGGTTAGGTTTCAACTTGTACTCAAGCTCCGGTTCCTCACCGGGAGGTAGGGGTTCATCATCAGTGCAGACATCCTCCAGGGAGGGCTCCTGGGTGACAGCGGCTGGTATTGTCTTGGTGATGTTAATTCTGATGCCTCCGATGGGTATGACAGCGGTCGGTGTCTCCAGTTGTACGTTGCCGTCGATGGAGGACGTGACAGTGGTGTGCGTAGTCTCTATGGCGGTGGGGAGACGATCCTCGTCCACTGTTATTACTGGTTCATCATCTGTTATACACAAAATTATAAGTTAGTAAGTTAAAAGGTACAATGTTAAGAAATCAAGAAAGAAAAGAGAAGAAAGTAGGTAGACGTCTACAATTTTATTATTAAAAAAATTACTTTTCGTATATTAATAAATCCGACTGTCATACACAGGGAAGGAATACGAATCGAATGACACTTTTTTCTTCAAAATTAGTACAGTCGTTTAAGCTATACATAGACTCTTGCACGAATATTTGCGACAAGCGCTTTCGAAAAGTCATCGAAAAATATAGAAAAAGTATGAGATTTGTTGATGTAATACATCCGATACGGAACGCTGCACAAATTTTAACACATACTTTGTCGATGACGTTAAAAAGTTGTATGATAAGATATATTTGTGCTAGACTGAGTCACAATACATTAACATACCAAAAAATATATAAACTCGAGGAAACTACCCTTTTGTCAGTCTATACAAGAGTTTGTTAGTGATGATACTGACCGGGGTCTATAGGTTCCTGCTTAACGCGCACGTTGGCAAAGTCTGCAGCGGCGATGTCGCGCTGACGCCGCGCCTCGTTGGTCTCGTCATCCGTGTCCGCGTCCTCCAGCACCACCTGCTCCACCGGCTCCGCCTTCAGCACCACATCGTCGTCCTCAGACTCGGAGCACGAACCTTCTTCTATCTGTTCAAGTTAATTGACTTTTATTGATAAAGACATCCGACTTGAAGGACCAATTTTATTTCTTTACAGTTGTGTTACTTCATTTGACTAAAAGTGTTAAATTTGATCCTTTTAATGATGATTTCATTAAACTATGCTTTAAAATGGTGTTTATTTTGTGTTCATATTATAAAATATTTAACTGCCTTGAGCTCTTACCTCTAGAGCTTCAACTACGGGCTCCTTGACCTCGAGGACTTCCACATCAGACTCGTCATCGGAGGCCAGCTTCACCTCCTCTGTGTCTACCTCTATCGGCTCCGTCTTTTCTACCTCTCCACTAGCCTCTTCTGATTCTTCCTCTGGCTCTTCTTTAGCCAGAGACGCCTGGAACAAGAAGTTACATGTTAGATCATTGTCAAATCATAACTTATATTCTAGATTTAGGAATAATTAATTTTTTTCTTGTAAGATCTTTGAGAGAGAGTATAGTAATGGTTCTCAAAGATGATTGAGCTACCAACTCACTTAACAGAAACTGCTTAAATCAGGATTTACCAACCGAACGAGCCTACATGATATGGTACCGACGCATACTTATATTTTTGAAACTCCTGGTGCAGTACTTACTTTGTAGTCAGCGAGACAGAGCGGATGATAATGCAGGTCATTATGTCGCACGGCGTTCCTGAGATGCCACTCCTCACGGTCCTCGTTGTAGAACTGCAGGAAGAGGTCTCCGCAGAGTGCGCAGTGCTGCGCCGCGGGTGCTCCGGCCGCCGCGCTCGGCGCCTCCACCGCCACCTCGCCTCCAGACCCGCTCTCCGCTGCCGGCGCGTTCGTCTCGAACCAGTTCTTTTCTGTTGGATTATTCATTCTTTAATCTAAAGTAATCTGCCGTAGGGATCCAATCTCAAAAGTGGGGACTTGATGGCGATTCAATCTTTAGTATTAACAAAAATAATTAACAATGACCTTGTAGAAAAATAAAATTTATCATACACTTAGTTCACATGTAGTCGTTCTGAAGACATTAATCTTAGAATTTTCCTTACTTCCCTGTCTTTTATCTTTCACGTACTAACAAAATGCCGCTTGAACTTCTGATTGTTAAGGCTGCACGTCGATAATTGTGCATGTCATACCTCTCTCGTCGAGTTCCTCCAGCTCCTCATATCGCAGCCAGTCGGGCAGGTCGTAGTGCCAGGCGCGCGAGTGAGCCCGGCGCGCGGAGTCGCGCTCGCGGCGGTTCTGACGGAAGTGCCAGTCGAGGTGCTGCGAGTAGCGCACCGTGTGCTCCGGCGGGAAGCGCGCGCCGCACCCGCTGCACTGCATGCCGCCGTACAGCCGCGTCACCAGCGCCGGCTGCTTGCTGCAACATCAACGTCACCATCTTATGCTTAAGTACACAACTCTAGATATGCCACAAGTCGACATTAACACTCATAAAACTGTCGCCGAAATATTTAAAAAACACCATAAAGTCGAAAATAAAATTTTTTGTGTGTCCCCATTAAGAAATTTATCGTAATTAATAACTTTAGCCTCGTATTACTACAAAACACAACCGAGAGACACTTCATGGTCAAAAGGGTGATTTGTACTCATGGAATTCACTAGTCCAAATGGTAAATCTAAAAAGTTAAAAAAAAATTAAAAAGTCAACTTACATTTTCAACGTTTCCGGTTTAAGTAGATCCACTTGACGTATGATATTCTTATCTTGTTTAGGTATCATTTCATCAGTTTTAATATCTTCTTTGGTATCTTTAGCGACTTGTACTATGCCGGTAGCGACTAGCTTAGCGAATAGATCGTTTATATTGATATTGCCAAGTATGGGCAGTGGAGCTGGTTTCTCTTCAGCGGGAGTCTCCAGACCCGGGATCTTGTCAGTCTTGCTGAACATCGGCTCGGCGACGCTGTACTCCGACCCTGATGCTGGTGCCATGCTGGATGGCATTAAACTTGCTAACATGTCCAGACCTGAAACATTAACAATTGTCACCAAAAGAAAAGACGATGAAAGCTTGATAAAAAAAGATAAAATGTGGCAAATAACTGTGTAACATTCGGTAGAGGTACATTACCTTGGTTCTCCCCGTCGGGACTTGGTGATTTCTTAGGTCTGGCTATTGGTTCCTCGTCTGCTTCCTCAGAATCTTTATCGATTCTGGTCGGGCTGTCGGGCGCCGGTGCGGGCAAGCTGGCGGGCACCGACACGCCTTCCATGTCTGCGATTTCAATCTGTCCCGGCTTGATATGACGCGGCAGTGCGGAGAATCTCACAAAGAACTTCTCCTTTCCTATAAATATTGGTCTCGGAAGATCTCCGAACTCGACTTTAAAAGGTTTCTCATTGATCAAAACTGTCCTCAGGGCATCAACGAAGCGCAGCGTGAAAAACTGACCGTTTATCATTATCTTTTGTACTTTAGCGTCCAGGTACACGGGACACATCTGAGTCGCGTTTATAATCAGGTTTATTTTTCCAGCCACCAGATCAGTTCGCTTCTTTTTACCGATATCGACTTGTGGAAGCGGTCCCTCCAAGTGCAACAGTCTCGGCTTGCCGTCTATGAGCACGCCCAGCGGCTGTCCACCGAAGAAGCACTCGTACCATCTCCCATTGATGTACAGCTCCCTTGTAGGTGCACCGAATCTAATGTCGAACACTTGATCGTCAATCTCCACCTGCTTGTAACCCTCGTTGAAGTTTAGGATCACGGAGTCCTTGTTGTCGAACGTCACCCGCCTGCAGCCCGGCAGGAACTTGATCTCGCGCGGGTCGTCCCAGTCCAACATAATGACTGCGGTTTCCCCGTAAAATCTGATCTCTCTGGGCACTCCGTCAATCTGAATAGTCTTGACTGGATCTTGGTCGATGTATTCGAGGATTTGAACGTTAGTCGGCGGGACGGTGTGTCCTGGCGTGCCGATGGGTGGCGGCGACTCCGCTCGTTCGTAGGGTTGCAGCGGGCTCTCGCCCTGACACATTCCCAGCTTGGGCGTAGGCAACGGCAGCGGTAGGCGAGGATCGAAAGGTAGCCTCGGTTGCGCCCTCTTATCGAATTTGCCCCTAAAGAACGGTGGCATCGGACCTCTAAATCTTCGGGGTCCGAATTCTTCCATGCGCGGTCTCGCCTGTCCCCGCCACATTGGGTAGGGGCCCATGTACATGGGCATCATGGGGGGCAGGGGTAGAAGGCCCTGCGCCTTGCCGTCGGCCGCGTCGGATCCTATCGGGTTCATTCTCATATCGGAATCCTGCATGAAATTCTGGCTGTCGGGCGGAGTGTCGAGGTACGCGGAGGGAGCGACTCTCTCATCTATGTCGCCGAAGTTATTCAAATCCGAGGGCGAGGTCTTGGGACTGGGGACCTTGTGGTTTTCTTCGTCGATGTGCGCTTTCAGCTTCCGCTTGGACAGTTCGAGCGACTCCCTCTGCTTGGCCTCTTTTAACTTGAGCTTCTCGTTGAGCTGCAGCACTTGGTACATCAGAGTGTTGTACTGGTTCTTGTCCAGTTTGCCGTCGCTGAACTGTTCCTTCGCCTGGGACATGATAATCGATATGGTCTTCTTGTGGTCTTCGGGCGTAAAATCGTCCCCGCTGTCGGACTTGTGGTCCCCATCGTCGGAGCTGAGCGTGCGCCGCCTCTCCCTCTCAATACCTGTTAGTGTGTGAATAAAGACATTGTGTAAACTTTTATACAGGTCATTCACTCTGGCTTCTGCAAGAGATATAAAATACATACGTCAACACAATTTTTAGACATCATATTTCATGTTATTCATTTGTATTATTCAAAAAATATACTTACTTGGCGATTTGCTGAACAGTAGAGGTCGACCTAATCGGTCTTTTCCTTTCGTAGCTTCAGCTAGCTTTGCTCTAACGAGGTCCAGTTTAGAAGGAGTTTTCTTTGTTTCATCTTTCTTCTCCTTAACCTCGTGCCAGTCTTTCTGTTTGGGAGAGCTGGTGGAGATTGGGCCGTCATCCTCGGCGTCATCGAGGGAAATGTCTACTTTAGGAGACTCGGTAATGGTGGGCGGAGGGGGAGGCACCAACTCGTCTACTTGTGGTAATTGACGAAGATCCACATCTTCGTTGCCAAATAAGCTGTTAAAATTTATAGTATCAAAATTTTTGAATAAACCTATCTTACAAAAGAATGTTGTTATAAAAGTAACACAGTACATGTTGTATTCAAAGCACAGCCACAATATTCAAATCTCCGCACAGTATTACAAAGTCTTATTTTTTTTTATAACAGAAGGGGGCAAATTACTTACATATCAAATTTATCTAGTTTATTCTTCTTAGGTTTCCCTTCAACTGTTTCAGTGGAGGGTCTCTTCTGCGCGACCGCAGCAGCACTGGCTTCTAGCACCGGCTGCAGGACCCTAAGGTCAACGTCCTTTGTCTCCATGACAACGTCGAGCATATCTGAAAAAGTCACTCAATTTTTTATGCAGCCTTACGTCCACTGTACTCCTCCAAGTCTTCTTTCTCGTCTTCTGTGGTGTCGACTTTAATGTTAGATCACTCTGCACTTTCGGAATGCTTGGTATTGCATTAGAATTGTTAAGTAATTAGTTAGTTTAAAGTTATTCGTTTCGGTTATTGGATATTACTGTTGTACCTAATGGAAGGTAGTTTATTAAGGTTTAGTTATTTCTTTAACAACTAAAGTATAAAGGGAAGATAAAAAACAAAGAAATGTGGTAAAAAATTAAAGACATGATATTAGAAACTACGTTAGCGAAGACCAGAAGATTAAGTAGGAAATATTTTACAGACAAGACAATTAAATAAAGATTTCTAGGCAATTGATTTTATAAGTATTGAATATAGAAGAAGAAGAATACGATTATATTACTATGTTAGTAATTAAAGTTCGTTAGATTCCATACTTGTTTTCAATTGAATTAACAGTCGATGATAAAGCACTACCTTAACTTTAATATCACAATTGAAATTTTAACGAAACCAAGGTACACCCAAATTATTAACAGACTTATAAAAGACGCAGAAATTAGTTAGAAAGAGAGAACATCATCCAAACAAACGTGAAAGGAAAAAATGATAGAGAAACAATTGGAAAAGAGAAAGAAATTTAGAAGTAACACTATGAAGGACGCGAACACAAGATGAGAAAAATTCTTAACACATTCCATGCCACTAACAATTCTTCGATTAAAAGTGAACTAACTAGGCAAGTCGGTGGCACTAAACGTGTCGGTTTTTTTTTGGGTACTTTTGTCACGATGTCTTAAAAACCTTACATATGTTGTAAAGTTTCGCCCCACAACGCCGATGATTGTAGACATCAACTTTTCAAGAACTCGGATATTTTTTAAGGAATTTTAGAGTTTGCCTTTTCTTCGATGTTTAAATGGTTTTGTGGATTTAACATATAAAATGCGACTACGGATTGACTTGTAAAAGTGAAATCGCATGGCAAGTCAGTAGCGATGGACTAACTTGTGCTCGTGCAACAATATAAAATACCCAAGTTACAGAAAAATAATATAAAAATTGTGAAAAATTAATGTTCCCTTCACACTTTTGAAGACACACTGTGCAAGTATAAATATAATATGATATGATGTGATAAAAATATATATATGATGAAACGTTTTTAAGTAGTTTGACAAAAAACTTAGTTTGTATGTTGATAAAGATGCGCCACTAATATTTTTTCTCGTATGTAATGTACTCGCCAGGCGAGTCGGTGGCTGTGAGAGTGTTAACCCAATAAATCTAGTTTTACACTGATCTTAATTGCTACCAAATCACTGACGTAAACTATTGACTCATCAATTTCCTAATGCCCCGTTTTATTTTCACCCCCTAACTTAGAACCTCTAACCCAAAAAATCTCCTGAAATATGTAAAATTGAAATTTGATTTGGACATTTATAAGGATTTGACTTTTACCGGAAAGACAAAAGAAAATAATGTTTTTCGAAAATAATATATATGTGAAGTTAAATTAACTCGATTGTGTATTAGTAATTATCGTAATAAAAAATTAGAAAATGTGCTAGTAAATTTAAAATGACTGTGAAAATATACTATATCCCATAAGAAATATAACAAAAGTTAAAGCTTTTGCAAAAATATGTATGGTCATACATATGTATGTATGGACGAAATAACGACGGAGAATTCTTCTCTTTCTTCCAGAAACTTTTCACCGCAGTCTTCTGATCGGTCCAAATTTTTTTTTAATTTCGTCAATGTCGGTTTTTCCATAACTCGATTTGTACTTCGGTGTTATAAGACATTTCTATGGCTCCTAGTTTTTGTTCCAGATTTTTTTTCTCTATAGCTTCTATACTATGCATTAACCTAATTTGACTCTGGATTAAAAAAAAACTCCTGGAGCAATTGTGTTTTCTACTAAAGTTATGTGGCTGTATACAAAAATGATATTTGAAAATAAATCAATACAAATACAAAAAGCATATTACAAAAACCTATTTCCTATATTTCTATAGCCTGTACTTTGATGATTGATTTCTGAATAAAAACTACAGAAACCAAATTCATTGTTTGTTACCATTATTTTAAGATATATTTTAGTGCTTTTAAAAGTGCTGACTAGTTCTTAACATCATAAAGTATCAGAATTAGCTCCAGGAGAAAATGTACCTGAATATTGACACCATTTGTTTAGCTTTTTTAAGTAGTAAGTAAACGACTTTATAAAGACGGAAACGTAACTTACGAGTAAAGGGTACAAAGCCGTCGATAAACACTTCAATATGAATACTGCAGTAGTAAAAAATTATTTATTATTACACAGAACTTGTGGCAAGTTTCATCCTTACACGTAATATCACAGTTCCATTGACTAGTTTCATGTTTTACAACTACCCGCGGGCTCTGTTAACATGGATTGATATCTTACTTGTTGGTTCACTATTAGCTTTCGCGTCTTCCGACTTTTCTTCTGACTCGCGCTCCGGACTCTCGGATTTCTTTTTATTCCGGCACATGTAGTTGTCCTTGTTGAAATTCTTTAGCACTTTGAATGCCACCGTTTCTGCCACGACAGGGGCCGCCTCCTCCACTTCTAGCTTCGCTTTAGCTTTCTTCTTAGTCTCTTTCGACTTCAGGCGCTTCTCCGGCGAGGAGCTGCTGGAACTCTCCTTGCTAGAGTTCTGTTCCTTCTTCTTCCGCCTCTCTTTAGGATTCTCCTTTCTCTTTTTGGTCGGCGCGGGTTCGTCGTCGTCTTTATTTTCATCCCTGTTTATTTTAGGGATGGGCGGGAGTTTGTTGATCTTTTTCGGATCGGATATTTGCAGTCGATCCATGTAGTCGTCGACGGCGGTGCGGATGTTATTGTATGCGGCGTTATCGCGCGCCTTGTCTTTCTCCTGGCGGAGCTCCTCGCGCTTTCTCTCTCGCTCCTCGTCGGTCTTCTTGGCGCGTCTCTCTCGCGCGCGGTCGGACAGTCTGGGGTCTCGACGGCGCTGGTCTTTGGCCGCGTCAAGACGCACGTCGATCGTGATGACGTTCTTGCGTTTGGTGACCCTGTCGAGGGGCTTTATGTCGAACACGTTGGGCGCTATGGGTGGGCCGTTGGGTACGAGGGGCACGTGGGGCACTAGGGGCACGTGAGACACTTGTGACACGGGGGGCACGAGGGGCGCGGGCTGCGGTGGCGGAGGGCGACGTGCGAGGCGCGGGTCGCGGCGCGCGGTGACGAGGGCTCCGCTGACGGGCGCAATGCGGCCTCCCGCCGGCTTGTTCACTGGCTGTAAGAGATAATTACAGTGTTATGATGCTTATTACAGTGGACATTTGCACTCGATTTAATGCTAACTTTTAGTATCGCAATAATGCAATTCGATAGATCATGATCTAATTATAGGCGGAATCTCACGGGGACTTTATATACAAATTCCACATACAGCTATAATGAGCAAAAAGCAACATATAATTAATTAACAATGATATTTTAATCAACCTTATACTCAGCATATTATTAAGGAGTTTGTCAGTCTGACCGAAATTGTTTGTTTACTAATATTAGACTAATGAGAAATAGTTGTTTTAAGAATTAAATTTAATAAAGCAGTAATACTGACCGGTCCCAACCGCTGTTTGACAGAGACGGGTGGTGCGGGGGTCGCGGCGGGTGCTGCAGTCACGACGGGCGCGGGGTTCACTACTGCCACTGGCATCGCCGACACATTGCTCGGACCCACCTAAAGAGATGAGAGACATTAATAAAGTTGAAATTAGATATTTACTTTTCTCACTTGTTGGGGCTTCTCTTAAACCCGAGTTTTTTGCTTATGGAGGTCCCAAAGGATCAGACAATGGTTCTCGCTAATAGAGGTCCGACTGTTTTAGGTTCTGACACTTAACTCCGCAAAGATTTATTTTCATAAATAAATGTTATTTTGAAAACAAATATTATTCTAGGACATTTTTTGGTTTGAGAATTATGACGTCACAATAGGAAATGGATTCATGTACAAAATGTTAGTAACAAATATTTTATTAGTACAAATCATGGTTTCAAAAGAAAATTGTATTAAAAAGGCAAGTTTGAGAAAAAACTTAAGACATAAGGATGATTGTATACCACAGAGATTAACAATTTTTACTAATGTTTTTTGTGCAAGCATCATAAAATATTGTATATTTACCAATTTAGCATTTTTCTCTGCCAACTCGAGCTGCCGTCGAGTTTTCTCCAGCTCCATTTCAATCTTCTTTCTTTGCAGCATGAGAAGCTCCTGTTCCTTCTTAGCGAGGATGGTGCGCATCTTCTCTTCATCTTCTGTCAGGGTTGCTGTAGCTGCAGCACTGGTTGTGGGTGCAGCGGCAGCATTCTGGGAGATAATACCATTATATATAAGATGACACACATTGAATCCTATGGATAAAAAGCTCATATAAAATCGTAAAGAAGCTTATAAAGATAAGAATAAGAACAATTTAATTATTACAAACAAAATTGGATGTATTAGTTAAGACTTAGTAGTTTTTGTCAAACAGAACTGAAAGAATGACAATATAAATAAAGTGTCATAGCAATGGAGTCCTATGGTAAAGTCCAATTTTGATGGTAACAATAATTTATAGCGTGCATTTAGAATTTATTTCTCGAAGTGCAAGTGCAAAATCCAAGATAATATAGAAATTGTGCAGAAACATAAAATAAAATAAACATCGAAACATAATCAACTAAAAAAAAACACCTTTTTCAGAAAATTTGGATTTACATGGATGTTAGACTGTTGCGGCTGCGCTTGGATAGGCCATGCTGGGTCAATCAGGTTCACTTTCACATCCAACTGATACAGCTTTGTGGCTGGGAACACATCGTGCCATGTCTCCCGCAGTTTGAACATCTGAGACCTTATTTTTTCATCAACCTGGTAAAAAATATACACATTAACAAACAAGTAAATGTAAATACAATGTTACAAAATAAAATAATTAATGTATTACCTGTTTGAATGTCCGTGTGAACATATTTACGATGCTCTGTGAAAACTTCTGTGTGTATGCCCCACCAACATTCTTGATGATAGAATCAACTAAATACAGTACTGGCAGCTTGATGTCTGGATGAACCTGTATGGAGGAAAATATATGTTCCAATCCCAAACCCCCTCGGTTGACCAAGTCTAGATTGGTAATTCCAGTGATCATCCGTAATTTTTTTCTTTTCTTACGTCACACGAAAATTTGTTTTAATGGTATGGGGAGGAATAAGACAAGATTTGTTTCCGCAACCTGTTTAATTTGTCACATATATGAAAATAAATAAGAACTCAGTTTGAAAAAAAATTTATTTTGATAAATTACACAACTGAAATGGAATTGGTGTGTTAAATTTTACATACCAATGAAGGTAAGGCAGTTGTTTTAGCATCATGATATGAACAGGTATCTCCTATTTTTTTTTGTAACATAGACATTAATAAAGTAAATTATTGACACTATTTTATAATGATTGGAAATTGATAGTAAAAATGAATTTCAATGTAAAGCTGCAATAAAATTACTACGAATTGAAACATAATGTAAACGAAAATTATTATGAAACTTTCACTGTATTGCACAATTATTTAAAGAAATAACTAGTATTATGTTAATCAATATAAAATGACATTATTACCATACTTCAAAATATAGTTACAATTCTGTGCTAAATTGCTTAGTTTTATCTAATCAACTATAACCTTGGAACACTACAGATAATTATTTTTTTATTGTTCTATGGGTAGGAGTTACCTGTTCGATGGCAAGGACTGGTTACAAAGATCTGATTAATCTCACAAAACACAACACGCAACAGAGTGTGCGTCATATACCATGACTTTCCACTTCGTCGTACCGCGACCCATTGCTAGGCCGCCAATTTAAAAATATAAAATCACCTTCTCCAAATGTTTCTCCACGGTATCAACGATAACCCCGGCATGGTCGATGTTTTCTTCTGCTAATATTGTTAGCATATTTATAAGAGGTTTGCTGTTGACGGTAAGATCTGCCAGGCTCGATGCATACTCCTCTGCGATTTCCTTTGCCATCTTGCTCGGTGAAAGTTTCCGCTGTTCTCACCATACCAAACCTTCTTCAACAGCACATTACTGTAATGAAAAAAGAAACTTCGTTCGTTACGTGGCTTCATTCAACATGGCGTGAATTTTCATAAGAGCACGTATTGAACTTACGTTATCAATGATAACACGGTGAGGTAGATTATAATTTCACAAGTATACCCTGATTTCTCACGTACAAATTACACACACATAATTAAAATTAAATTACGTAGCACAAGGAAATAACCCAACTGCCAACTCACAGCAAGTAGAACAGGACACGAACCAGTCTTTTTATTTTAGAAAACAAAATGGCGGAACCAGTTCACAAATCGCTGCTAAGGCAAAGAGTATTTTCAAAGAATAGAAAATGACATGAATAAAGCAAATTTTAAATGTAGGTAATTTTCTGTGGAAGAAATAAGGAGTCAATTATATTAGGTGGGCATATAGTGTAATTCTGTAATCTGAGTCACTCATCATTATATTTGCATATTTTCACGGATGGAAATATTACCTAAACCCGTTTAAAATAATAATTGATAACATTAGATATTCGGTTCGACTCGGTCCGGTATTTAATACCGGTACAGATATCGGGGTTTGTATTGACATTGACATTTAACACGAAAATTGTCATTGTCAGACAAAATTGTGACAAGTTGGCTAAATTTACAAACGAAAAGTAATTTTCGTTTGTAATTTGCTGTATAATTTAAATACCGAGCAATTAAATTAAATCATGAATAACGTTAATACGGGTGAACTATTGAATTTCCAAGATTATTCTCCAGAGCACAATGACCGTACTGCGCGAATCGAAGTCGAAGCAGTTCACACAAATCAATACAATAACATGTCGACTCCAAATTATGGTTTTGAAGAGCCCAAAAATGTTGAAGAACCACAAGCAGTGCCTCAAAGTTGGTTTGCAATATTTTAATTATCATAACATGTCAGTACAAGTTAATAACTTCTGCACACAAGCACTTTAGGCTCACCTTCCAAGATAACTTTTATTCTTCTGACTCTTTTCTTTATTCATAAAAATGATTAAAGCTGTAGAAGAGGCAATGATTTCCTCTTTTGTCTAATACTACTTTGTCCTTAGTATGGTATTAAATCATCCATTTAGCTATAATTTTTTTTCAAATCTGTATTTCATTTAAAGTAATAAAAATAAAACAATGAATGGTGTGATGATAGTTCTCCTAGTATGCGAAAGGATATAACAGGGAACCTACCACTTCTAGGATTTATCAAGCCTTCAAATCAATAAGTAAATAGTCCATAGCTTATCTCTTATGTTTAAATTACATTGATAATCAATTTGAATACAAGATATGATTCGTAACTTTTAGTTAATATTTTCCAGTATAACAAAACATTGTGTCCCAGTAATAACTAAACCATTAAAATTTCATGTTTATTGTATTTATGAGTTTACTAGCTGTTGCCCGTGACTCTACCTGGGCGGAATAAAAAAAACGTAATTAGTAGCCTTTCTTCTAGACTATGTTCTATATGTAGGCCAAATTTCATCAAGATCCATTCAGTCGTTCTGGAGATACCTTCAAAAAAACATCCATTTGTTCATCCATACAAACATTCGCATTTATATTATAATATTAAGTAAGATGTATTATTTTATGTTTAACAGAAAACCATAACTTCTGGACAATAGAATATTATCAGAAGTACTTTGATGTTCACACTAATGAGGTGGTGGAGAGGATCATATCATCAGTGTTGCCACAAAAAGTCTCTCGTAACTACTTTGATGAACGGATCAAAGGGAAACCTGATTTATATGGCCCTATATGGATATCTGTCACGTTGGTAAGATTTTTTTTAAGTTAGTACACATTTTATTAACGGCCAAACATTTTTTTGTCTGAGGTATTCAGTAATAAATTATAAAATTGTTTCAACTAATAATTTACAAGGTAAAGTGACTCATTATTATATTAAAATATATCTCACAAACTGCTATTACTCAGTTGTTTATTGATTCCTTAACAATACCTTTACATAGATTTCTCTCATACTAAGTTTACCCTGAAAGCCCTGTTTTAGTGAACATTAAATTACCGTGAGTGGAGCAATAAATTAAATTATTGTGCAACAATTTTCTAATCCGTTCCAGATCTTCACGATTGCAGTCAGTGGTAACATAGCAAACTATCTACAAAGTGCTAATAAGGTGGTACACTGGAGGTATGACTTCCATCTTGTGTCATATGCAGCAACTGCTATATTCTGCTACGTATGGCTTGTACCATTGGCGTTGTGGGCTGCACTTAAATGGACTACACTGCCTGACGGACAGGATGAAATTGAGACACAGGTTAGTACGTATGTGCAGCGAATCTCCACCGTAATGGCACTTGTATTCTTATATTACCGTCCCTCTTATACTCTTCGAAAAGATAGAGATAGTTGAAATTGACACTTAAATAGTGACTACAATAACTGCTGTGATACTGCTGGCTAAAAATTTTGATCTCATGTAAACTATTTTTTATCTCTATCTTTTTTCATAGTTTACACTGCTGAAATACATTTATAATAATCTACTGGCGACAGCTAGATTCCATCCCGACGTAATTAAAAAAAAATCTTAATTAGTATTCTTCAAGACGAATGTTCTACATTTATGCCAAATTTCCGAGCCGTTCTGAAGATACCTTCTAACAAACATCCATACATCTAAATTCAAATTTATACATTTGAATTTATAATGTTAGTAAGATTCTCCGTTTGTTTTAAAGAGATTATTAATGTATTTCAATACTGGTGTGTCCGTAATTAAAAACAGCTGTTATACTTACTTTTTCATTCTCTTTCAGCAATCAACTTCACCAACAATGATGTCATTATTCTGTCTCTATGGATACTCTCTGTCAATCTACATTCCCGTAGCAATCCTCTGGACTATCCAGGTATCCTGGCTGCAGTGGCTCTTTGTCCTCATGGCTGCGTTCGTCTCCGGTGCAGTTCTCATCTTCTGGCTGATGCCAGCGTTGAGGAAGTCAAAGTATTTCTTCATACTTGTCGGTTCTATTTTAGCGTTCCATTTCCTTCTTGCCACCGGTTTTATGTTGTATTTCTTCCATGTACCAGATACAGATGTACCGATCAAAGTGTCCAATACTACAGTTAAAGTTTAAGTTAATTATTCTTTATATATTTTATTTCAATCCAAAGCAGAAATGTTTTTAACACACAAACTGCACATTTTTCACTTAAAGATAATACAACTCTAATATTTAATATAACAGTAGCTATTAGTAAATTTATCCGACGTTCTTGCTGTGAAGGAAAACATCGTGATGCAACTTTTTTTTTCTTTGTACGAGGGGAAATGCAGTTCCGCACCCCTGCGCCGGGCCAATTGTGCAGTGGCGCAGGGAGTGTGGGACTCGCCTAAAGACGTTCGGCCATACCCACTAAAACCCCTCAGGCCCTCCTTATCGCATTTATCCTAGCCTGTACCAGCGTCTGCCATAACCAGGCGTCGGATATGCGTCGTCGCTCACAAAAACCGTGCGACTCTCCTTATTTGTTTATAAAATATAACAACATAAAACTTAGAAACCAATATATCTATATACACAACAAATAACAATAAACAATAAGAATAGATACTCAATTAAAACCAGACTTATTTAGAGCGAAATATACATGGAATATAAATAAACTTAAGAGTATAATTTTTAGACTATTTGATATTAAAACTTAAACTCAAGCCAAATTTAAGCTTAAGAGGAAGGTATAAACAAATATATATATATTTGTTTATACCTTCGTTTATACGCTGCTAGGGCGACCGCGTTCAGGTGCCATGGCAACAGGCCCGCGATGACACACCCGGCATCGTACGACACCGTACGGTATGCCCTCGCGACCCTGATTGCCACAGCACGCTGCGACCGCCGAAGAATCGCCCTGTTCTGAGCGCAGAGATCGTCGGCCCAAACCGGACAGCCGTATAGGGCCTTCGACCTCAGCACGCCCGCGAATAAGAGGCGGCGTTTCGTACTAGGGCCACCGATGTTAGGTAGAATGCGACTTAGTGCCGCAGCTGTGGCATCTAGCCTCGGGGCTAAATCCGCGAAGTGCGGTCGAAAACTCCACTTCGAGTCGAGGGTGAGACCTAAGTATTTGATGGTCGAACAGATGGGAATAGAAGCACCCCCGACTATGAGTTCTAGCCCAGACTGGGGGTCTCCTGCTGTCGAAAAAGCAGATCGCCTCCGATTTCTCGAGGGCGACCCTCAGACCCAAACTACGAATCTTTGCCGAGACTTGTGAGGCCCCGGCAGTGGCCCGCAGCTTTGCCTCCCTAAAATCCGATCCTGTGGCTACGACGAGCGTGTCATCCGCGTAACAAATAAGTTGAACTCCGCGGACGAGCGCTCCCCGCAGCACGGAGTTGTAGCCTGTGTTCCACAGGAGTGGGCCCAGAACCGACCCCTGTGGAACTCCACAAGAAATGTCATAGTTTCCCCAACCGTCTTGTGTGGGAAACACGATCCTCCTGTCCCGCAGGTAACAGCTGATAATTCGCCGCAGGTACAGGGGGACGCGATGATGTAGAAGTCCCGCCGTTATACTGCCCCAGGGCAGGGTATTGAAAGCATTTGCGATGTCGAGTGACACCGCATCGACCACTGCACCAGGCTTTGGATGAAGAAGTCCTGAGCTCTGGCACAGTGGTTGAGGTTCGCTTGCAAAAAACGAAGGGCCATATTAATCTTGTATGACTTCGGCAATCTCCATTTCCTCTTCCCCGCTCGGTGGGGGCGCGTTGCGTACTGCATCCGCTAGCGCTCTCCTTGGGAATCGTGATGCAACCTGCACATATCTGAGAAGAAAAGATATGTGTGAAGATAACCAACCCGCACTTGACCAATATGGTTAACTATGGTCTAGTCACTTCTAACTCAGGGTAGGCTCCGAGCCCCTCAGTTGGGACTTATAGTGAGCTGATGATGATGATGACATAGTTATATTTTACAAAATAACTATTATTCTATATACTACACTTAACTGTTTTATAAATTAAAAAAAACTTAAGTATAACGGCCGCCATCTTTAACAGACTATTAATTTCTCTGTTGGATTGAAATGAAATTTAGTTTAATCTTACTTAATATTTATTATCATTCCATTTTGAAGTATTGAGGTTTTTTTGTACATAAAACTTCGGCCAAGTTACAAAATTATTAAATTTTTTCTATTGAATATTTTAATTTAGTATGTATTACTACTTTTACGTTTAAAATATCATATATTAATTGTCTTTTTGTATAAGAGTAGTAAACAATTATAGTACAATTAAATATGTGTTTTCTTTTTATTACTTACCTTTTCTATATTTTAGTATACTGGGAAAAAATTTGGATGGATGGAGCAATATTATACGGAAATTATTGCAACAGGTAAATTCAATAGAACGTCGGTGGCTCAGGGGTTAAAGCAGCTGCAGGTTCTGGGTTCGAATTCCGTCATATACCAATGTTTTTCAATTTACATATGTACATTTATCCTATGTTATGGTGAAAGAAAACATAGTAATGCTGCACATATCTGGTGAGAAATTCAAGGATATGTGTGAAGTCAACCTGCAGTGGGTCAGCGTGGTTGACTGCGGTGTGTCACCACTAAGTGCAACCCTCAGTGGGAACTATAGTGAGCTGATGATGATATTCAAAATGGTATCAAAAATAAAAGACTACTAAAACAAGAGATATTTAATTTTACTTTATACATAGTAATAAAATTAACAAACTCTTAGTTTTCATAATACTTTTTTTTTTCTATTTACAAAGTTTATTCTTAAAAATATGTATGTTTATATTACTAGTACTAAACAACTCATTGGAATGCAATAATATAGACTTCAAATAATCTCACAGAGAAAAATAAAGAAATCAACTCAAAAATCACAAAAGAGGTTCCGTGGAATACTTAAGGATTTAAAAAAGTAATATTTCTATATAAGTATCAAACATTATATACATGTATGTACATTTATACTAAAAATTAAAACTATTGAAGAACATACAAGTTAGCTATACAATACGTCTTTGATAGTAAAACCCTTTTTCGACTAGCACGAGGTGCGGCTTGAAAATCATTATAATGTATATACTAGTTTGTCCCGCGAGTGTTCGCGCGGAATTAAAAAATGCTTAATTAGTAGCATATGTGTTCTTCCTGATTATATTCTACATCTGTGCTGAATTACATCGATATCTATCAAGTCGTTTAGGAGATACGTAGTAACAAACAACTACCAAAATCTTTTATAATATACTAGCTATCAACCGCGACTCCGTCCGCGCGGCATTAAAATAATTTAATAAGTAGCCTATGTATTCTACCAGGTTATGTTCTATATGTATGCCAAATTTCATCGAGATCTGTTCAGCAGTTCAGGAGATATCTTTTAACAAACATCTATCCATCCATCAATGTAAACATTCGCGTTTATAATATTAGTAAGTAAGATTTCCAGTAGTAGCGTACTCTAGTGGAAAAGGGGCTTAAATATTACGGTAAATACTAAACGGATGTCAGTCGGCGAGTGAGAATGTATGAAAGCTCTTGAGCCAGGGCTCCGTGTGGTATGAGGGCGGAGACTCCTCGGGGCTGCTCTGCAGTGATGACGTCACCTCTGACAGCATGTTAGCTACATTTCAATATAAAGTACGTAGTAAGTATAGTATTTTTCAAATATCTTGTCGCGTGACCTTGAAAATATTTGTCTAGTCGGAAAATATGTCAAATAACAACGTCATCTTGACATCATGATAATGTTGCACTTCATCATTTTCAAATTCCATAAAAATGACACTCATTATGTTATGACATGTAGATAATTTTGCCAATGTGTTTGATTTTATGTATTTAAATAATAAATACTATGAGAACGCAGATTATAAATTGCAAATCAATTGCCTCATCTAGAACTTTTTGCTCACTGGTAACCCTTAAAATTGTAGGCAAACTCCTGTCAAAGTTGGACTATATCTTGCCTGTTTTTTACAAAAAGCCTAACTGGGATAACATTGTTGTATGAAAACTTACAATGCAGTTCATCATGTGTGTGTGCCAGCATGATGTGGCAGTACTGCAGCAGGTGACCCTCGCAGTGCGCCAGCTGGCACACCTCATCCCGCGCCGCGCACCGCTGCAGCACGAGCAACCCGCCGCGACACACGGACAACAACCTACTCTCACACTCTGACAACAAGAAACATGTCATAAGAGTCTGTGAGTGATCCCCAAGTGTATATTCAGTATGAGAAGCTGGAAAGCTCGCATTTATTCACTACTAGCGGTCACCCACAACTTCGTTAGCACAGAATTAAAAATATCCTATAACATTCCAGCACACATCAGCTACTTGTCAAAGTTCCATCAAAATCTGTCCACTCGTTCCGGAGATTAACCTGAACAAAGTTAGCCTTGCGAACAGACTAAAACTATCAAACATTTTTGAATTTTTATTATTAGAAAATAATTACATACTATCTGTATTTCATTAATTTCATTAATTGTATATATATATTATTAATGTAACAATTAGGTCCTTCGAGTCGGATAGACAAAAGTCATAGCAATTGTGTAAACAGTAAGACTCACCCGCCATGTCTCCAGACAGCATCACAGCGCAGATCTTGAGCGCGAACACTATCACTTGTAGCAACGTCTGCCGACACTCGCAACTGTTCACACAATCGTCAAACATAATATGGCAAGACTTGCTGTCGCCCGCGGTTCCGTCCGCGAGGTATTACAAAAAAAAATTAATTAGTAGCAATATGTACTTCCAGGCTATGTTCTACATGTATGAACTTCATGAAATCTTATAAATGCAAATGTTTCAATGGATGGATGGATGGATGTTTGCTAAAAGGTATCTTCAAAACGACTGCATGTATCTCGCTGAAATTTGGCATATATATGTAGAACATAGTCTATAAGCACATATAGGCTATTTACTTAGTTTCTTTTATATTCAACGCGGACAAAGTTGCGGGAAAAAGCTAGTTAAGTAATATTTTTTACTATATTTTATTTTTTATATCTGATAAAACTGCCACATATTTGTGTTCTGAAATATTATATATAAATATAGAAAGTTAAACATAATAATACCTCGGCTTGTGTTGACTATCCTGCAGCATGTTTAAATCTGTGTAAAAGAGGAGAAGATCTGTGCAGAGAGAGGCAGCTTGTTCTTTTAGTTTCTGCCTCTCAATACATTTTAGAGCGGCTTCGATTTGTTTCAATAAAACTTGAAGAAAACACGAGTCTGGAAATAATTAGCTCACTATAGTTCCCACTGGGGGTCTCAGAGCCTACCCTAATTTAAGGGTGGGGGTAGTCAACCACGCTGGACAAGTGCGGGTTGACTTCACACATATCTTTGACATTTCTTTTCAGATATGTGCAGCATCATGATGTTTTCCTTCACCGTAAGCACGTCAGATAAATGTAAATCAAAAAACACATTGGTACATGGCGGGATTCAAACCTAATACCTGCAGATTACAAGTCAAATGCTTGACCCCTGAACCGTCGACACTCATCACAGTACATTTTACATAAGTTGGTATTTAGGGAAACAATTTTTCCATTAATATACTACACAAAAAAATTAAAAAAATGAAATTGAATACAAGGCCATCTGGTTTGTCTATTTTAAATAATTTCTTACCTTTCTTATACAAAAGTACGCCTTGATCATAATCCAACTTCAAATTGCCAGCCGTGCTGCCTCTACACAACATGTCTGTTGTATCTGTCGACCACAGTTCACGTAACACGCGTAATGATGCACAACTCACGAACAACATCGGTCTAGATTCTATTATTGTTTTTATAACTTTTAATATTTTGTTTGTTATATTTTTATTTGATTGTATTAAAATTCTATAAAGAAATTGTATCACCGCTTGTAAGAAACCACTAAATAATACTGCACAAGACTGGAAAAGAAAAAAAAAAGCAAATGAGGAAGTCACCTGAATTCGCCGAAATGGCGAAACGACCGCCACCCATAGACATATGCAATTGCAGATGCGTTGCCTATCTAATCAACAGAGTAGAGGAAAGAGAATATTTCCCCTTCTATGAGGTAATGCATAATCACCTCATCCAAAAAAAAACTCCAAATAATTACTTTAGAAATAAAAATTTATGAAAATGACATCTACTAATAATTCTGACTTTGGATGTATGGATGGATGGATATTTATTAGAAGGTATCTCCAGAACGGCAGAACGGATCTCGATGAAATTTGGCATACATATAGAACATAGTCTGGAAGAACACATCGGCTACTAATCATTTTTTATTAATTCTGCGCAGACAGAGTCGCGGGCGACAGCTGGTAAGTAATAACCGAATAGTTACCGTTTTATCTAATAATATGCATATCCTTTGTATAATTTCTAATAAAGGTGTTCCTTCGTGAATTGATATATCAATATCTTCTCTGATAAATAATCCCGCAGCTCTAGAATCTTCTAGAACATGATACAGAACTGATGTTATTCTTCTTGCTGTGACAGCTTGCTCTTCTTTATATAATGACCTGTTTATATATAGAAAAAGATTACAAAATCTTACTAATATTATAAATACGAATGTTTAGATGGTTGTTTGTTAGAAGATATCTCCGGAACGGCTTAATGGAGCTTTATGAAATTGGACATAGATGTAGAAAATACTCTGTAAGAATACATAAGCTACTTTTTTTTTTAATTTCGGGTCCAGGTATAAAAAGCAGCTAGTGCTTTATTTTTCTTGAATATTAAATTTGCCTAAAAATTATGAGGAAATTGCATTGCATAAAATAAATTATTATTAATTTTAGCTTTATTGATAAGGTTTTAGTTTTTCTATATCTAGATTTCTAACTATGTATAATTTCTAAATATTAATAACAAGAAATTAGAAATAATATAAATATTCTTACAACATACTTTCCGGAGATCAAATCTTCTTCGGACACAACTAAATAGTTTGCGCTTGCATCAATATATTTCTCGTCAATTTCCTTCTGAAATGCCGTTGTCATTCTTAATTCTAATGTGTTTAATGTATGTTCTACATCTTGTAATATTATTTTAGCGGCTTTTATAATCTGAAAATTGTAATATAAATAATCATGCATTTAACCCAAACATATATGCACAAACTATTTTATAGGTTACATTGTCTTATTTTTCTTATTAAATAATTAATACTAGTCATCATCATCATCATCAGCTCATTATACATCCCCACTGAGGGGCTCGGAGCCTACCCTAAGTTAAGGGTGATTAGGACATAGTCAACCACGCTGGCCAAGTGCGGATTGACTTTCACATATCTTAGAATTTCTTCTCAGATATGTGAAGGTTGCATCACGATGTTTTCCTTCACCGTAAGAACATAAGATAAATGTAAAAACACATTGGTACAGCCAGTGTGGACTATGACCTAGTCACCTAATTTAGGGTAGGCTTCCAGCCTTTCAGTGGGGATGAGTGAGCTGATGAAACTATTACTGTAGATAAGTGTTTAGAATGAGAAATAAGTATTTACAAGACTTACATTTAAAATTTTCTGTTCCACTTCATCTGATCCATCAGCGGCAATAGAAGCCAAATCTTTGTACACATCATTCAGTGTTACTTTACATCTGACATCTGCTCTAGGACACGGAGTGTTAGGTATCCTATGAAATGAGCTAAACACTTTGCATCTGTTATTTAAGTTATCAGATGGTTTTTGTAATTTTTCGTTAAATTCCAATAATGAATATTGTTCTGTTGATGATTCTACTGTTAAAGGTAGGAGTCGAGTTAACTTTTTTTGATCTGAAATAAAAAAAAATATATATATTATATCTGTACTTTTTAAGGTACTTAATAAGACTCTTTTATGATGAGGTAGAAGGGGGTAGACTCGGATATGACGGCTGATAGAGATGTATGGAGGAGTAGCACATACTGTGCCAACCCTCGATAGGGATAAGGGCAGGTTGATGATTATGAATAAGACTTTTTTTAAGGTAATTTTTTTCTTTAAAATATTAAATGAAGATATCAGTTTTAGAATTGATAACAACGCCATCTATTGAAATTAATAAGTAAATAAAAATTTGCATATATCTTAAAATATTTATTATCAGCAATTGCCAGTGATTTTTTCTACTCGGAATTTAAAAGAAATCTAGTAATAAATAAAGCCTATTTCACCCAGAGAAAGAATTACTTCCTAACAATGAAAGAATTTTTTAAACTGGTTCAGTAGTTTCGGAACATATTCAATGGAAACAAGCAATCGAATCTTTCTTTTTCATAATATCAGTATGGACAGATTATGTTACTTACCTTGTCTATATGCAATATTAAGTTGTATAATATTTGGTAATGTCCCGCATTCTGTTTGTACATTTTTACAAGATGTTTTTACTCTTGCCATTTGTGTTGAAGATAGAGAATCTCTCATGCCATACATACTGTTTCTATGACTGAAAATTATAACAAAAACATATATAATATAAAACTTTATCAAGTATAATTTTTTTTTGATTATCCATAGTTCCTAACTATGTATTGTCTAAACTGATATATAAACACGGCTAAACACTCACGTATATTCGTTCGGTGGCGGTACCGACTAGTTTCGAACCCATCGGGGGCCCTTCATCAGGATGAGTGGTACTCAGTGAAGGGCCCTCGATGGGCTCGAAACTAGTTGGTGCCGCCACCGGAAGAATATACGTGAGTTTTTAGCCGTGTTTATATATCAGTTTAGTATAATGTCTCACGAAAGTTTGAATAATTTGCCTTGTCTAGATTTGCTGAAGGAATGAAAATCTTACTAATGTATGTTTGTATGTTGGATATATGGATGGATAGATCTTTGTTAGACAATATCTCTAAAAAGGCTGCATGGATCTCATTGAAATTTGTCATAGATGTAGAACATATTCTAGAAAAACACACAAGCTACTCATTAATTTTTTTTATTCCGCGCAAACGGAATCGTGGGCGACAGCTAGTGTTGTTATAAATCTCACCTTAATGATATATCATGCTTGGGAATATTTACTTGAGTCAATCTCACTTTGGATGATTCTAACATCTTACATTTCTCTTTTATACTTGTTATTTCGAGATTCTGAAAAGAAGAATTAATTATGAACACGCTTCAAGCTTTATAGTAAATAAAGTTTATAGGCTTCACTGTCAATAAGATTGTCAGTCAAATATTTACTCAACTTTACTAATATTTTAGGTGCAAAAGTTAAGATTAATTAATGAATTGAGCTTCAAAATGGCTTAACTGATCTGGATATAATTTGTCATAGAAATAGATTACTGTTTAGAATGGTGCATAGGCAACATAGTAAATTACTTTTCAATTCCACAAAGATAAAGTCACTAATAAAGGATAGGAAATTAACACAGAAATAGATATTAGGATCAGGTTTTTACCTTAAAATCTAGTTGCGTTTTCAGATCTTGTAATTGATTATTGGCTACCGCTAACTTGTCTGTCCACTCCATTTGCACTCTTTCTTGTACTTTAATCTTTTCCAATCTAGCATTATCAGCAGCTGCTTGACTTGTTTTTAAATGAGTCCGCAGAATTGAAACCTCACCCTCTTTAGTCATGCATTTCTCAAGCAATTTCCCATTCTCAGATTTGAGTTTAGAATTTTCTTCTTGCAGCTGTAGTAATTGTCTATAGACATAGTCAGTATCACCTTTATGAACTTTATCATTGAATATCATATCTTCTATGACATTTGGATTGGTGTTTTGTACAGATCTTGAAATGTTTGGTAATGGTGATGAAATTAAGTTGCATTTATTTTTAATACTTGGTGAATTAAAATTAGGCGTATTATGTGGTTTCTTGAAAGGGTCAGACGTAAAATTGAGTGGATTATTTATAGGTTTCTTAAAAGGATCAGAGTTAGTAGATGTGCTTGGTCCAGGGTCAAAGTTTTGTGTACTAGTTGAGGAAGGTTTCATACAAATACTATAATCTGGTAAACTACTGTCTACATCAGTGTATGCTTGTTCACACGCCTGGCTTGCAAGTAGGAGTATTTCATCATCAACCTCATCGCCCCAGTTATCTTCGTTTTGGTCTACAAAAAGAATATTTATAACCTTTAAAAAATATTGCATTTCTCTGGACACAGTTTAACGTTAAAAAAAATAAAGCAATGTTACGAGTAAACTTTAAGTTGTTAACTGAATTCTTTGACTGGAATAAATATAATAATTATAACCTTTATTTCTATCATTATTTTGACTGAGGGCTAAGTGGTTATCCGTTCTTGAAACATCTAATTTTGCCCTTTTTCTTTCACCTTGTTGTTGTGGGTAATATACGCGTTTAGACATCTCAGAGTTTAAACATTCATTTAGCCAAAAATAATTTTGGCGCTTAAATATTTTAAACAGGTAACAAAACAAAAACAACTCAAAAAAGTAAACCGAAAAAAGTATAGATTACTGACAGGTGACAGCTGACGCATAACGCTGACATTGACACAAAACCAAGGCACATCTTTTGACCAGCCAATGAAACCAAATTTAAAGTTATCAAAATTATTGAAAAATTTTATTAAATTCATTTAAGTAAACTAACAAAAAAAATTCAAAACAATTTTTAAATGATGTGCATTGTGATAAACATTTAAATTAAAATTTCCAATTAAATTACGTCCAGATTGATGCTATGTAGTGATGTACTATTACAGAAATCGTAAAATCATCATTAACGGTTTTCTTGCTATTTAGCTTCATATTCAATAAAAGAAAATGAATAGGTAATATAGTTAAATCACTCTGTTTTTGGATTTAAGATTATTTAAGGTACTCGAGGATATAGTGAAATGAAACAGAAAAGTTAGAAAATCTGATCCCAATATCAGGATAGGAAAACATATCAAGTAAGTGTTGTGTATGTCGATTCGCATGTCCGAATCCGCGAGCGCGCCCTCGCGCTTAGCGAGGGAGAGGTCGTAGATTCAGCCGTGAATTATTAAAAATATAATGTCATGTGTATGTATTCACGAACGGAGGGTCTAAGTAGCGCGCCCGCTCCCACGCACTCACGTACATCGTGGACAAGCAGTATCTCAGAGTTTTTTTTTATTGCTAATTAAATCTCACTTGCTATATCTTGATAACACTTCATACAGTAATTCAAGTGCATTTACCATTTTCATTGACTTGAGTGTCGCAGGTTGATATCGGGTATCAGCCGTTTAAGCCGTTACCCGGTGCATTCAATACGAGTAAATTAATATTTCATTATTTTTTGATGCTGTTTATTATTTTAATAGGTGTTTATATTATTAGTATAAAATAATTAAATATGAATGTTTTAGAGTTACCTACATTTAATCAAAACATTTTATCTAGATATAGGATAGAACTCTAGTTTGAAGTAAATTTTCTTGTTCTTCTGTGTAAGGTGACGTACGCTCTAATTTCAGAAATAAAATTTATTTTTGGGTTTTATTTTTCCCAAAATAACCGACAAAACCGGGTTTGCCGGTTTTTTCACATTCCCTATAACCATAAACCATGAAACGACGCGAAAAGTTTGTGTTTTCTTAACACTTTTGCTCTCTGGTTTAGTTCGTCGTGGAAAGTCGAAGGAAGTGGACGTACATCATGAGTGAAGTTTATAAACTTGGTGATTTAGTTTGGTATGTACTTTAAATGTAAAAAAATGTAAATAATTATCCAAATGTATTAACGCTGAAGAGTATAATTGCTATTATCTTTGTTTCAGGGCTAAAATGAAGGGATTCAGCCCTTGGCCAGGCCGGGTAAGTTACTTTATTTTCAATTTCTAATCAAAAAACAAGCTTTAATATCATATCTAACAGTACCATAAGCAAACTACTTCGTTAAAAAGCGTATTCCCTTGTCCTTATATTTGTAAACAGAGTAATATATTTTAGCATCTTATTAGCGGGAAAATTTTGATTACGTAGAAAAGGGACGCTTATAGTATTTATTATGCTGTTGGATTTTATTTTGATTTATTTTACCACTTCTTAATGTTCAGTTGTAAAATTAAGGCGATAAAAGTGTAAAACTTCTGATTTGTTTACCATTACTTACCTTAACCTCCAATACATTTTTAATAACCATTGAAGAGGAATTATATATCTTGTAATAATGTTTCTAATACAATATGACGATGGTTTTCAGGTAGCCATCCCAACACCGGAGCTGAAGCTACCAAAAAAGACGACCAATGTTCAATGCATTTATTTCTTTGGGACTAATAATTAGTAAGTAACCACATCTCGTCCACTTCATTAAATTACCACTACCTCCAACTTGTAAGCATTTGTTTAGTGCACAACATCTGTTGTTTATTGGACTGACTTGATTATACAAATACCCGAGCCTTAAAGATGACAACACTCCAGTAGAATTTTGCCTGATAAGTTGTCACACTGGCTCCAGCCATAGGCTTTTTCTGATCTGTCCTATAACTCAGTCTTTTCTTATAAGGAATGGTAGTGTATTTTATCAAAAGGGCGATGGAAAGGATAGGAATTTATCCTTTTCATTCAAAATTGATCATTGTTATGTGCCACTTGCTTTTTTGTCCCCTTATTGCAAATATGTAACATTCTATTAGTACCTATGGAATTTACTGCACTAAATTTTGAGATAAAATAAATTAGCACTTGTTTTGTTTTCCCTCAAATTAATTTGTTGTCATTCAACAGCCAAATATGAACAAAAGTATTAAATAAAGCCTCCACATAATTAACTAATTTGACAAAAAATTGTTTACCAAGCACTTTTTTTCTTTTATCCCAACATTTAGTTGTTTAATTTTTTAATTTATTGCAGTAACACAAACTAATAAATAATATTATTTTATCTACTGTATTATGGTAATTGATGGTTTAAATCTTGAGAGCCTTATGATCTCTAGATGACATCTGATCACTGATATAGGATTGCTTAGTTTTTATAGATTTTAACATTTTTAGTGTTCCATACCGCAAAGGAAAAAACAGAACCTAGAGGATTACTTTGTTGTTTGTCCGTCTTCCTGTCAGGACCCTTTTTTTAATTTAGACAAAGTGTCCAAATAAGCTTCTTGTGCCAAATGTATTTTAATATAGTTTGCAGTAAAAAGAACAAGAACACAAGTCTAAACGGGAAAGATTAAAAAAAAGAATGACCTAACTATACTACAGATTGTTCAAAAATGATTAAATATTACTCCTGGATGATATCAAAATAGGCAAAAGAAATACATTGAATGTAACAGGAACTTTGACTGTTTTTATTAAAATTATTAAACAAAAATATTTCAATAGATATTTTAGCAAATGATGTTAACAAAATTGTACACCCCGATATGCATGCTCCTTTGCCACATTAGATGCACAACAAATTGTGTCAGGACAGCAAATGGAAGTCCGTGATCTTTGCCCACCTCTCTGAGTTAGAGGCGTTAGTAATGTTGTTGAGAAAGGTGTTTAAGTTTTGACATAAGCATAATACAATGTGCCCACTCTAAACTTTTATAAGTCTATTACTTTTGTTGAAACTTTCACAAATATGCTGTTATCTTATTTTTTTTGTTATTAATAAATAGGTTTTTGTTATTGTTTTTGGCAGTGGGATCTGATTTTAATGTTCATTGTAGCATTAATAATTGTTATGATTTATTTATTTTTTGATATTTTTGTAAAAAAAAAGTTTGCTTATTTTTATAAGCGTTTTCACTTATCTGTATGTGTAAAAAAACATTAAACTATAGTAAATTATTTTGTAACCTATGCATATGCAATGTACTAATTTGTGTCGCTCTGCTCCCGCCAAAACCGCGCGCCTTTGCCGAGTCCGCTGTGATGAAGCGAGACGGAAGTATAGCAAACGCATTGATCTGTCTCGCTCGCACCTTTGACGAGCGCGCGGTACGGTGACGGGTGTGTTCATGGAGTTTTAATTTACTAAGAAGCATTCTTATGTTTCCGTTTTAGAGATAATAAATATTGTAAAGATTTATACAAATGTAAATGTGCTAATTTATCAATGGACTACTTTTCTTCAACATTCGTATATGAGAAGTAATTAGATGACTATATTTTCTGTATGACTTTTTAAAAGTGGAAACGCACAATAACTGTATAACAAAATGTTTGATATGTTCTCCATGTGACTTATAATTTTATTCGAACACTTTATGTACATAGATAGTGTTATTGTTTGTATGTATGAGAGTTTCAATATTTTTGATTGCCAGTCTTGAGCGATGCGCAGCCCACTCCCCCTCCCCTCCCCCTCTTACGTCCTTCTTCACTTAGAATTGTGCTCTGAAATAACTTTTTAAAACCTAATATTTGTTTAGTTGTAGTTGATTTGTTTATAACATTATTTTTTGTATGTAGCGGTAATTGCACTAAATATTTATATTTTACTACAGTTGCTTCTCTTCCGTCATCATTCCGTCTTGGATGGATGGATGTTTGTTTGTTTGAAAGTATCTCCAAAACGGCTGTACGGATCTCAATGAAATTAAGCATACATAGTCTAAAGGACATATAGGCTACTAAATTTGTTTTGTTTTAATTCTACGTAGACGGAGTCGCGGCCGACAGCTAGCATCACGTAAAGAGAATATAATAAATATAAAAAGTATGTTTCCTTTTCCTACTCGTCCTCTCTCACTCTCCACTTCTCATTCCTTTTGCCTATCCTGTGTTTATCCTTTAAATATTATTATGATTTTTCCCAGCGAAAATATCAATTAAACACGTATATGATAAGAGATATTTTAGTTATGTTTGGATTGAAATTCTTCGTAATATGTTTGAATAGCGCTTGGATAGAAGAGCACAACATAAAGCCGTACCACGAGCACAAAGAGCAGCTCATCAAGTCCAGCAAGACTGCAGCCTTCAAGGAGGCTGTTAACCAAATCGAGGAGTTTATTGTCAACCCTGAGGTTAGTCTTCTAACTGCCTAAAGATCTTTTCTAATATATAACTTCCTCACTAGTATTACTGGTGAGAGTTGACATAGTATGGGAAATCTATACTAAGGGTCTTCCTAAGTGGCCAATTAATGAATATAAGTAAGACAGTAATAATTTTTTGCATTGTCTTATTGACATACTATGGGTCATACCTAAATCATTTAAATATTTTTTTGGTAGGTTAGAATTTTTGTAATTAATTATGAGTATATATTTATATTCAGCTTGTATTTTCTTTACAAAATTGTTTTTACAGTTTGTTCATTTATGCGTGAGGCACTTTTATGGTTTTCTATTGTAACATTGGAAAGTATTGCGATCTCTCTCATTCTCTGTGAAAAAGATAGAGATAGCGATATCGACCACCCTGGCGAATAGAGTAACGTCTGATATAGGGTGTTCATATATTCAGATGTAACTCTTTTCTTTTGGAGAGTCGAATTTCACAGTGTTATTGGTTAGTTTTTTGAATTAGCCGTAAAATTATTTTATTCGGTATTTTTGTTGTGGGTCAGAAATTCGGTGACATTGATGAACACGCCAGAAACCCAGAGGAAGAGTTTGATAAGCTCAAAGATGAGATGAACGAAGACAGTTCTCAAGAGAAGTCTGAAGTAGAACAATCACCTGAAGTCAAGAAAAAGAGCTCTACGCCAAAGGTAATAGAGTTTAAAATAGCTTGAAAGAAATTAAACTTCATGTATGATAACGAGATTTTTTTACGCGACTTAAAAAGGAGATGTTTTAATTCGTATGTATGTTTTTGTGTTTAAAAATAATAGTGGATTAGATTCCCGAATTATATATATATATATATATCTTGATGGCCCATGACACATTGCGTTAGTGCACCTCATCTCGCGACTCGCTATTGTTAAGATACTATCTGAAAACATTTGTACCACTTATGTAATTATGAGTGCGGAAGTTACCAACTGAACACTGACTGAGAGAGAGAATAAAAAGTATTTTAGTTGCATGGCTACAAATACCTACTTTAGTTAAAGTAATAAAGCAGTTCTCAACATTTATAGATACGTTTGGGCATTTCAAAGGTGAAATCGGCCAAACGGTCGTCATCAGCCAGCCTGAAAGGTGTGGCGCGTAAGAAGGTGCGCCGAGTGGCACGCTCCTTCACCGACACAGACCTCGCCAACGAGAAGCCCTCTATGCTGAACCATTCATTCAGCAAGAAATCCAGCCTGCTGCATCGACCCTCCAATATACTAAGACCTGTAAGTATACTAAACTTAACGCACGATTCAAATTCGAAATCACGTGTTTTAATATCTTTAACTTTTAAGAGTTATGTATTGTTATACTTTTACATGAAGTGAGTTTGATGAAAAACTCTTGGAAGGGATCAGAGCTTGCTATATACTCTATTTGTCTTTAGGAGTGATTTTGTGGTTCCTATTGGTCTTTTTTTTTAAATTAAATATTAGCAATTTTTTTTGTAAATTTACTAATATTTCTTTAACCATTCCAACTAAGCTGTAGACTTGTGCTAGGATATGGTTTACGACATTAGTCGAATGGCGGGATTCGAACCCCCGACCTCGTGGTCGGAAATCCGTACCCATAACCATTAGGCTATTGACGCTTAAGCAGCAATTTTAGCAGTAGCCAGCGAATTCGTCCACGCCGAATTGAAAAAAAATCTAGTAATAAATATAGCTTATGTTACTAACATAGAGTAGCTTGCCAACAGTGAGAGAATTTTTCAAATCGGTTTAACAGTTTTGAAGCCTATTCAATCCAAACAATCAAATCTTTCCTCTTTATAATATTAGTATATGTTTGTGTACTAATAAACCAAAAACTATTCGTTAAGTTATTTCTATGGTTTATATAATTACAGTTGTCTACTTGCATCCCAACAAATCTATGAAAACTAGCGTTTCTTCAAATTGTTTACCTTTTTAAATATAAGTTTACCTCCTTTGTGATTAGTTTATGCATTGAAATTAAACTATTTATACGGATTTTATCGAATTTATTTAATGTTTCACTCATGGATAGGACCAAGACGACAATTTTGTGTTTTATAGATTCTTATTTTTCTATCTTCATTTAACTTCTTAAGTGACTTGTAAACATTCTTGAGTCTTCTTTAGTACATATCTTGTAACTTCATTGATGGATTGTAAATGATTCATTTTGCTTTGTTGGGTTCCATGTTGCAATTGATGTCTTGGCAGGCGGTTGTCAAGGTGTTACTTGAGAAGATGTAAGATAGTGTCCAGTTGCTTGTAGAACCGTCGTGTCTGAAACAAAGATTTTCCACACGGTAGCTAACTGTGATAGATGTGGTCAGTGGAGTGACCAGAGTTTAAGACGAGTCGATAAGTATGTTTTGTAAATCAATAAGGTTCGATTCGAGGTAAGATTCGAATAGTGGTAGCCGCGACCTGATATTATAAAAGGAAAGATTTGTATTTTTGTACTGGACCGATTTCAAATATTCTTTTGTCCTTAAAAAACTACATTATCTATAATTAAAACAAGCTATATACTAAGTACATAGTTGCTGGCTAAATCTAACATTTTTATTTAAATATAAATATAAGAAAAGTATAACTGTCGTAGTAGTCATTAACTAGTCTCTTTTAGTGAGGAATAAGTATAATAAATCTTAACTAAAGGGTCTTTAGTGACCAATTAAGGTACGAGGAACTTATAAAAAGTAGGTCCTCACAAATGCCCTATATTTCAGGATACACCACCTTTAGACCTGGAGAACGTATCAGAGACGCTGCTGGAGAAGAACATCAAGGCCAGCCAGATGAAGTTCGGTTTCCTGGGGCTGGGCATCATGGGCAGTGGCATTGTCAAGAACCTGCTCAATTCTGGGCATAAGGTGCTCGTGTGGAACAGAACTGGGGCCAAGGTAAGTCAATATTTTGATTCTGAATGGTCTTTAGTGCCAATTTTAAAGTCTTTTGTGTCTTTATGATCTTAACATTTTTCTAGGTGGTTCAACTCTTATTTCAGGGTTAAGTTTTATTTTGTGTTAGGTTTTTTTTGTATTTTTTATCTGTTTTTAATTTGGAAGTAATAGGTGTAACTCGGCTGGTCCTATTTAAGTCGGATAAATGTATTATTAATGGTTTTTATTATTAACAGAGTTTTGTTAACTCGAGTGTCGGATAAAGTTTTTATTTCTGGCAACTAGTGGTCAAGCAAATGTTTGCGATAGTTCTCGGTAACTATATTGACTTGTTGCTATGTCATTATTTTTGAATAATGACCTACTTCAAATTTGGTTAAATATTGATTTAGGATACAGGATGTTCTAAAAAGATAATTATATGTTATATAGAAATGCCCAAACATAAATAGTTAGGCTCTTAATTGTAAGGAAGGAACAACAGTTTTCAGAATTCTGTAATAATTTTAAAACGATAGCTGATGAAGTTTGTTTAATAAATAAATAAACAATTTTATATATAGGACAGGTTAAAAGCAAAAATATTATATACTATTTATGAAATGCACGAACTATAGATAATTTGCACTAAAATTAAAGACATCTAAATATTTTTTATATTTAGTTTTTGAATTAAAATTTAATTAAAAGTAATATAATTATTATGCATATTTTTACTCAGTTTTACGTAAGTTATATAAAATTAACACAATAGGGAATTATGATACGGTTAATTTGAAATTTGTATTTGCAAGTTAATGATAAAATTTAATATTATTTATGAAGACACCTTTTCTTTGATAACGAGTGACTTTGAACTAGACATCAAATGATTTGTGAAAGAAATTTTTCGCGAAGTAAGCGATGATAGCCCACATATGGGTTTTTGGCATTAAAATGGAGTTGGCTTTGTCATGTTTGATATTATGAGTTTGCTCCGCCGAAATATTCTTATAAAGCATTTTATGTAGAGATCTAGACATGTTTTTGTGAATGTTGAAACACTGTGAACAGTGCGTACTCATAGTTGGATCACTTAACATCAGATGACTTTCCCCTTCCCCTCCGTTTCAAAAACATATTGCTACTATGACGTAGTATCAAGCCTTACTCAATCATCAAATAATGGTCTTACCATTAAATCATAGCATATATTTTTAATTTTGACATACGTAAACACTAGTACCATTTCGTTACGATTGCATTGCTATGTCCGTGTCATAGCAACATATAGACAAGGGATTTGACACGTGTTCATTTTTTTTTGGGGTAACACATATGTTTGCCTCTTGAGCATATCCATGTTTTATCTCTAAACATCTAAAGAAGGAATAATTATTCAAATTTTACTTTAAATAGTCCGTTTTTTTACTTTATTTTATAACACTTTAGCTAAAACATTAATTGTAATGACCAATGCCTTTAGATATTTTCTTAACTAATTGAACGCCAAATGACAAGTCAAAAATTACTTTGAGTATATTGAAAAAAACTATTAAATATACCACAAATACTAATTTAGATAAATATCTGAAACTTGAACGACTCTTATTATCTATATATTTTGATTTTTAAATTGATTAGTAATCAGGGAAATAGACTAATTTTGAGAACTATTTATAGTACTATTCTAGTATCCTATATCTATCAAACACTTGACATTGGCCCAATCCGATGAGGGAGAGCCATAAACAAGAAACAGAACAGAACCTATATCTATCGCATCTCTAATTAAATGAATATTTATGAATGCTAAATTGAAAAAATTTTTTTTTTGCATTTACAAATTTTTAACTTTTTTTTGCTATTTTTTAATTTCTATATACAGTAACTAGTGGCATATTTTTACAAATTAACAGTATTTGAAATTAAATATCCCCAAAAATATATATGAGGTCAAGACTCATTTTTTTATCAAATAGGAAAATTGCTGTGGTCTGCCTTAAAAAATTTTAGATGGGCGTAGCGTAACGATGAATAAATTAAAAAAATAAATCGACTTATTTACAAGTAATTTAAATTTATGCATTGGCAAATATTATTCCATCAAATAGTAAATCTTTTTCTATATTTAATTATCTACATACTTCCTACAAATATAGTAATTTTTTTTAAATATCTACATGGGAAACTAGACGTACTTTTGAATTAATTTCCCTGAATCGCTAGTTGAAAATAAACTATTTCATGGTAGTAATTGTTTTATTTGTCCGTCTACCGATCCTATTCCGGTACATTAATCGTAATCATAGCTATGCAATGCGTATTTTTACATATGAACGTGAAACTATAACATATTTATATATGTCGAACTATGTAAAAGCTTTATGATGAATACTTAATTATTGAAAACATGATCTCAATGTAAATGACATGAAAGCGACAAGATGAGTACGTCATAGTATATAAATGGTGTTTAATATTTACAAGCGTAACACGCAAATTATTTTGTTGCCGACAAGATAACGAATCGCCACACGCGCGTCAGTTCACCGCGGAACGTAAATAAAACCAGAGAGATTACATTGAAAAATAATTTATTCTCCATGATTTACTATTTACTCTTGTTTATAATATTTAGAAAATTCTCAACAATATTTGTATATTTCATATTAAGAAACGTTTACAATATAATGATCGCTGGATTGTAGTATTTTGGCATATCACTGTTGCACTCGTTACACATCAGATCGATAAGGCATCGGTAAACGCAAAGAAACATAAATTAATATTATAACGTAAATATATAAAACTAAGATGATTTTTTTTACATAAAAATTGACTAAATCAGACTCAATAATACATACAATCTAGTTCGGTTGCAGTGAAAGGAAATATAGCTCATTGGAAGAGATCGTCTCAGTTCTACGATACACCAATTTACAATAACATCGCAACAATTACAACAAAGATAGTAACAATTTCCTTACACCTTCATTACCTAAGTTAAGTCGGAACAAATATAAAATGCATAATACTCTAAGATTTTCATACCTTAAAAATACATCAGAATGGAAATGAAATAAATCGAAACAAACAATACATATTTACACATTCCGTACCCATAGAAAGAACACTTATTAGAAAATCATTTCAATTTTTTTCCACTACCATCGACAGCAGACTCAGTATCCTTAACCTACCACTAGGAGATGGTACGAGAAGGTCGCAGGGCACGCGACGCGCCGCACCGCACACAGTCTATCACAGGTCACTACGAGTGGCGTCCGCACCCCGCGACACCTCGGCCCGGCAAGATGCCTTCGAACAAAGTCGCGACACGATCACTTCAACACTAACATTGAGAATCACACGTAGGACGGCGTGAACCCGCTCAAGTCGGTCAGCGGCACGTCGACCGGCTTGTGCACGGTCAGCGTGCCGCCCGACACCGCGTAGATCTTGAACACGCGCGTGAGCAGCCTGTACTACAAGGGCGTGTTCTCGCACAGCCCCGCGCACTCGCCGCACACCAGCTGCCCCGCCGCGTGCTTCACCTCGCACTCGGGCTGCGCCAGCTCCACCGCCAGCAGCACACGCTCCTCCCGAGCCGCCTCGCCGCGCAGCTCCTTGCCCTCCGCGCGGGGCTCGCGCGCCGCTTCGCAGTCCGCCTCGCGCCGCAGCTCCGGCGAGCTCGCGCTCACGGCCAGCTGGCACCTCCCGCGCTCCCTGCCCAGCAACGGCTCGCTGAACGGCTTGAACTCTCTTCTGTCGCACTTATACTTTGCGTGTCCCACTGACAAGCCCGCTTTCGAAGTCGACGGAGGCGTGGAGTAGTCGAGGCTCGGCGGTGGAACCGGCTGCAGGGGCTTTATCTTCGCCATCAGTTTGGGAGGGCCACGCTCTATCATGTTGATGTGAATGCCTTCGGGGATAGTCAGCGGCGAATTTCGCCTCGAGTTGACGGACCTCTCCGTAGGTGTGTAATAAACTGACATTTTGCTTTCGTCGTCGGTGATCGGGTTGGGAAGGTGCGACAATTTTTCTATCTTGGTCTTGAGATACATGTCAATGACTTCCACGTCCGGATCGAAAGGCATGGAGTCGCTGCGTCCGCAGGATCCACTGCGGCAGTTCTCAAAGTACAACGTCGGCAGATTTTCCAACACTTTATTTAGCGTCTGCTGTTGATATTTGTACGATTCGCGAAGTCTAAGTATCTGATGAGCGCTAAATTTTCGTATTTTGTTCCTTTGGAATACGTAGTTCTCTCTGACCCAGTTCAACTGTGATGTGGAGTACTCTCGAACCCGTTTAACCTGCGTTTATAAATGTACACGTAGTGTTACTAACAAACTCTTGTAACTGATCACAATATTTAAAAAACCGAAACTATCTTAATAAGATAGCTAAAAATGAGACAATCGTTATCTGGTGCTACAAATGAAACACTAATACGATAAGATAAACCAAACAATAACACAATACTAGGTTACCATAAACATTGTCACTAATTATAACTTTAAATACCTGATCATAGTACTGGTCTTTCATAGCGGTCAAATGGTTAGTGCCGATATCTCTAATGTTGCGCAGGTGCGTTGCTTGCGATGAATAACTGTTCTGTATCCATTCCATTTGCTGTGTACAGTTCTCTTTGATCCGATGAACCTTAAAAATTATCATACATTAATGACTAACCCGATTTCTATATAAAACACTCAAAAAATGGTCAAACATTTACCTGAACAGCGTAGTTCTCTCGCAGTTTTTCCAATTGCTGTCTCTTGTATTGTTCGATGTTGTCCAGCATGCTGTATATCTGTCGCGTGCGCGGCGCGTCCCGACTCACGCATGCGCAGCAGCTGCAGCACGTCTCCAGAAGTCGGAATCTGAAATGTCACATTTAGATTTTACTTTCAGTTCATTTCAATAAGTAATGTTTAAAAATATTACCGTAACCGACCTGTAGAAGATATAACGTATAGCTTGAATCAATAAAGTCATTCCCAGAAACAAAG